AACAGGGTGTATTCATAGACGAAAAGTCTTATATGGTCAATTACCAAATCAACCTAATATTAATGGTAATTTCATTTTCTATTTCATGTTTCTCTATTTTGTCATATGCTTATTTATATATATATATATATATTTTTTTTCTTTTTTTTTTGCTATTTGTTTTGAAGGAAAACTTTCAGAAACCAAATTATTTAAAAAATTTGGAAACTCCGAACACTTCATCAAATCAGCTACTTCTGCTTTGATGGGCGCCGCAGACGGCTATCCAAACTCTCTCCAATACCCAGTTGAAGCCTTAAACAAAGTCGCGGGGTGTGGTTACGAGTATGATTCTTGTTGGGGTGTTGAGGTTAGTTTTGGTTTATGATTATATGAGCTTTCTAAAAACACAATACTATGCTTTGGCGTCTAGTTAATAATTCTGCTACCACTAGTTTAACATAAAATTGTTTGGAGTATGCAAAATTAATAATGTAATATGTTAATATCGACCTGTATCAAAAATCAAATGATGTTGTTTAAAAGACTAAGCCCTTATATATACTTGTTGGGGAATAGGACCTCTTGCTCTAATAACGTTTTAAACGTGATTAATCATCAATGAATTTTAAAACTTAAATTGATAGATTAAAGCAAATTTAATCATCTACGGATATTTAACAAGTTTTAAATTTCTTGTCCTTAGGTGGGGTTGTACTACGGTTCCGCGACCGAGGACATTTTTACAGGGATGATGATCCAGAGCAGGGGTTGGAAATCCATTTACCTCAACCCAAACCCACCCGCCTTCCTCGGGTGTGCGCCCACGAACGGCCCGGCCACGTTCACCCAACAAAAGAGATGGATGACAGGCTTTCTTGAAATCTTCTTCAGCAAAAATTGTCCCATTTTTGCTACTCTCTTTGGCAAACTTCACCCCAGGCTATGTATGTTCTACGTTTGGATCTACCTCTGGGGAATCAGTTCTATTCCAGAGCTTTGCTATGCCGCTTTGCCCGCTTATTGTCTCATCACCAACTCTCACTTCTTACCCAAGGCAAGTTACAAAAGAGTTTGTGTTTATTCGAAATGATGTTCTGACTTGTTACGAGACTTTAGTTGCATATTCTTAACTTCAATGGTTTAATGCAGCTACAAGAGCGTGAAATATTCATACCCTTTTTGCTCTTCGTCCTCTACAACTTCCAACAAGTGTTGCTATACTTGAAAAGTGGAAAATCGATTAGAGCTTATTGGAACAACCAGAGAATGGCGAGAATAAACACAATGTGCGCGTATTTATTTAGTGTTGTGGGTATTGTGCTTAAGTTTTTAGGATTATCAGAAACGATGTTTGAAGTAACAAAAAAGGAGTCGTCTTCTTCTAGTGATGATGGTGGTGAGATTGATGAGGATTCAGGTCCGTTCACATTCGACGAGTCGTCCTTGTTTGTGCCGGGCACGACAGTTTTGATGATGCAATTGACGGCATTGTTTATGAGTATTTGGAGACGGCCGGCCAAGCCCGACGGAGTGGGGGAAGTGATGTGTAGTGTGTGGTTGATTTTTTGCTTCTGGCCATTCTTGAAGGGGATGTTTGGGAAGGGAAGATTTGGGATACCGTTTTCCACCATGTGCAAGTCTAGTGCTTTAACAATGTTGTTTGTATACTTGTCTGAAAAGACAATTATGTAGGACAAACACAACTTGTGTCTGTATTTGTTGTCCAATTTGTCTTTCTGCTTTAATTAAAATGTTTGAACTAGCAGCTCCGCTTTCTAGTTATTGTAATGTGATTTTTGATTAATTAGTATCATTGAGAGATATTGATGTTTTTATTAGTTCATCATCTTGGCGGGTTTCAAATTTTAAACATGTGATTGATCAGAAAAATATTTCTTTATTGATTGAATAGTGATCAAGATAAGATTTATATACAACCTTATTAATTAAAACATATTTAGAACAAATTCTAAAATAGAAATTAAAGGCTCAACTTTTAAATAGTCCATAACTCATAACAATACATTCACCAAATGTAAAACCTCTCAAAATAAGAAAATATAAAAGGGACATTTGACATCAATGAACTACCTTAATAGGAGATTTGAAACTTTGATCGTTAGGAGGCTTGACGAGTTGACCTATAAGCCAGAGTTATTGATATTTAGTTGTATTGATGTGTATTGTGAACCAACATTTGTACYCAAAAAACAACATTTTATTTTTAGGAGGTCTAACTGGATTATAATTTTTTTAAGTTGAGAGACGATATAAATCTCTATCATTTGACATTGGAGTTACTTTCCTGTGAATTAATGACACTTATTGTAATAATAGACGATTTAAGATTCAATATAAACCCTTGAAGGAAAATCAAATAATTTCATGAGTTCTCTCAAAGTTTCCCACCCAATGGCCCATTATTCCAATAATTCTAAAACGGTCCCTGTGTATGAGAAAGTTGCAATCAAAAGAAGAGTTCACAGAGCGTTGGACGTCTCAATGTTGTCCCTCCTGGTTTCACTCCTAAGCTATCGCCTGTTCTTCCTCCATAGCCATGGCTTCTTCTGGCTCCAAGCAATGGCCTTCCTCTGTGAGTCCTGGTTTGCTTTCGTCTGGCTCCTCCTCCTCGCCACGCGATGGAACTTCTTCCACTATACAAAACCTACCCCCACCGCCTCCTCAAACGGTAAACATTTTATTTTACTTCTGCAACTTTTCATGCCATCAATTTTGTCAGTTGTCACTGTTTTGATCAAGTTATGGTTAAAATTAACTCGCACTCAACCAAAAGCTCCCCTTATTTGTGGAGTTGGAAAAGTAGGAATCATATTAAAAATGGAGGAAATACTTTCAAAACTAGTATTATTTTTTTTTTCAGTTTAAAACGAATTTTTATAAAATTTGTATAGGATTTTAGCCTACTGAACCAAAATAGATAAAAATCTATGTCCAGAGCTAGAATAAGATTTAAACCAGGCCTTATAACTTTTTTTTTAATATAATTTAGATTAAAAAATATTATTTTCATTGGTGCAGTTTCAAAAGATTTTATTTTTAATCTCATTTTCTATTATAATTTCAACACAATATTATCCTTAATATATATTTTTGAAATTTAATAATTTTTTTATTAAATGATTTTTGTTACCCGTAAAATTTATGTTAAAATTTTTATGAATAAAAATTGAGAGTATAATAATCCAAATTAATCCTTAACAACTAAAATGAACTACATCATTTTTACCTATAATTTGAAATCAAACTAGGTTGATCTCTTCACAGAATCATTTTGTTTCATGATCCTAAATTAATGCAGGGTGGAGAAGCTCCCTCCGGTGGACATATTCGTGACAACGGCGGATCCGGAGCTGGAGCCGCCGATAATCACCATAAACACGGTGCTGTCTTTGCTAGCAGTGGATTATCCGGCCGACAAATTGGCCTGTTATGTCTCCGACGACGGCGGTTCTCCGGTCACCGTTTTTTCCCTCTCCGAAGCTCTGAAGTTCGCGAAGATTTGGGTTCCATTTTGCAAAAAGTACAAGGTTCAAGTGAGAGCTCCGTTTAGATTCTTCTCCAATGGCGATTTAGGCTCCGGCGGGTCGCCGGAGTTCCGGAATGAGTGGAGAACAATGAAGTTAGAAAATTTTAATGGTTAAATATTGTTTAGAAAAATTATGAAAAATCAGAAGTTTATTTTGTGTCTTAATTTGTATGAGAAGGAGGAGTTACGAAAAGCTATGCCACACAATTGAGAAATCGGCCCTACGTGACTTCACCGGGGACCTGCCGGACTTTTCCAATATAAAATCAAATAATCATCCTCCAATTATCGAGGTACCTTTTTATAAATTGTGAGTTCTCATATATGTTAGTAGAAAAAAAAAAAAAGTTACCATGTAATATATTTTGGTAATTAAATAGAGAGAGAATGAATAAATTAATATGAAATATGTACTAATTAATAAAAATATATATATAATGATTGCAGTTGATATGGGAGAACAAGGAGGCGCATTTTGATGGATTGCCTCATCTAATTTATGTATCTAGAGGAAAAAGACCGAAAAATCCACATCATTACAAGGCCGGGACCATGAACGTTTTGGTAATTTAACTTTCACTTTCTTCTTAATCATTATTTATTTTCAACCGTGTGTTATAATTTTGATTCTCTATATTTTCAATAAAAATATTTGTCGCTTTGCTGCTGGGACATGTCATATATGACACGATTATATTGTAACATATAGGGGAAGAAAAAGTATTGTGGCCCACTAATAATACATAATGTGGGGATGCTTCACAGCCAGCATAGGATAAACAATTCCTTTGTTTTAAACGTCGATCGAAATGTCTGAACTCTCAATTTTATGGAAATATCAATGAAAATATCGATAAAATAACACTGGTGTCGATGAAAATTTTTATAAAAGTTAGAAAAATTTAAAAATCGTAAAAAATATTTAAATTAACAAATAAACATTTTTCTATTTCTAAATTAGTTTAAAATAATTAATATTAGGTATATATTAGTGACATTTTGTTGATATTTTTCATATTTTGTCGATTTTCTTGTACTATAATGATGGAAATGTCGATTTATCTTTCATGTCAATATCGAATCTAGGAAAACATGAATATGTCGATGGAAAGGTCGACGTGTCGACGAATATTTAAAAACATGCTTCTACTTAGAATTTAAAATACTATGAAGTGATATATTGTATTATTTCGTCTAGTCTACATTCTTATTGGATGTGGTTGATAATATGACATATGGGAGTAGAATAGAAAATTTCTGATACATATTGGTACTAGAAATTTTCCTTGCAAGATTACATTATTGTCAAATTTTTCTTTTCTAATCTCTAATCTTTTATACCTATCAATCCAATGTTTTTTTTTCTTTATACGTATAATTAATATGCAAGACAATATGTTAATTAGAATCTTATGTATCTTGTGTATTTGACGTGCAGACTAGAGTGTCTGGATTGATGACAAACGTCCCTTATATATTAAATGTAGATTGTGATATGTTTCTGAATAATCCTAATATTCTCCTACATGTGTCTCCTTCAAGACCCGTCCATTGATAAAGAAGATGCATTTGTTCAATTTCCTCAAAGCTTTTACAATGGACTCAAAAGACCCTTATGGAAACCAATTTCATGTCCTGATGGAGGTAATTTTATTCACATTTATGTTATCTGTTTGAAAAAAAAAAGATCAATCGATCATTAAATTCTGCAAAACAGCTGGACCTATTTGATTTTTAATAAAATAAATAAGACATAGAGATAGAAAAACACCGATGATTTATGCTGATACAGCTTAGTTTTGGGACTATATCACAAAAGTAGTTTCTTTTCCACTATATTTTGGAAGATTACAATGAAAAGTTTTCTTTCTCACATATGCTATCTTGTTTCGAAGTGTCCAACTATAATTACTTAAAAATTACACAATTAAAAATACTCTCACTGAATATACGAAACATCATACTTCTTTTATTTGAACATGCGGTCTACAACTACTCTATTCTCTTTTAAATTCCATACACCTCTACTTTACATGTTTTTAAAAACAATGTTTTATTAATTAAATGATGATATTTAATCACCACTCTTATCTTTTCTTTTCTTTTTTGGTAGTTTGTTGTTGGTGGAACAAATGGGCTTCAAGGGCCATGCTACATGGGAACGGATGTATTCATAGACGAAAAGTATTGTATGGTCAATCTCCGGATGGTACAAATATTTTTGGTAATTAACTTCATTTTATATTGCTTTTAGTAAAAAATAAATAAAATTTTTAACTATTTAAGTTCAATAATAATTTAATATATTATACACAAAGGAACATATTTAATAGTCGAACTTAGCTCAACTATATTTCAGGAAATTCATACTCTACTTGATGGTGTTGTATTTACAAATATATATGTATATATTTATTAATAGTTCACCTGCTTGAAACTTGTAAATATATGAAAAATATTTACCTCCACTAGTGAGGATCAAATCTTGTCATTACCATGGTTGAAAAATTAACAACTTGTTTTTTTAGAACAAAGTCTTTATTCTTACATTTTTATCTCTTTAAAATATTCAATGGTGGTGGAGATAAGATTGATCGTCATCGGTTAATAAGTCAAATATATTGTAAAAAGGATTGTGCTTTTGCGATGACAGCTTTTTAAACTACTTTATTTAATTTATAGGAAGAAATAATAATTCCGATGATGAATTACACGAGACATTTGGAAAATCGAAGAATTTGAAGAACTCGGTGATTCATGCTTTAAGAGGAACTGCAGATCATCCAAATTGTGTATTGGACTCCCACTCCTTAGAAGCATTAAAGGAAGTTGCTAGTTGTGATTATGAATACCATTCTTATTGGGGTGCCAAGGCATGTTTCCATATAATAATACTTAATACTTTTTTCTTAATTAATCCGGTTGTCCTAGCATTATATTATCATGTACAAAGTTTAATCGATACTTAATAATTTTTTCTTAATTAATCCAAAGGGCAATCGGTTAATGCTTGGTCGAACAATCAAAGAAGGGGAAGAGTAAACAAAATGTGCGCGTATTTATTTGGAGTTGTGGGGGCATTGTGCTTAAACTTTTAGGGTTATCAGAAACGATGTTTGAGGTAACGAAGAAGGAGTCGTCTTCATCTTCGTCTTCGAGTGATGATGGCGAGCCTGAAGAGGCTTTGGGTCGATTCACATTTGACGAGTCCCCGTTGTTCGTGCCAGCCACAACCATTTTGATGCTACAATTGGTGGCTCTTTCAATTGGTTTGTTGAGGATGGAGGCAAGCCGTGTTGAAGAGTTTGGGGTGGGGGAGATGGTATGTAGTGTGTGGTTGATTTTGTGCTTTTGGCCATTTTTGAAGGGCATGTTTGCAAAAGGAAGATATGGGATTCCATGGCCAATCTTATGGAAGTCTACTGCCTTCACATTATTGTTCATGTTCTTGGTGTTAAAGAACACTACCAAGTAAGATAGGGTTGGAGGTTAGTTTTGGTAATTGGCATGAGGTTGTATTTGACATGTTTATCAGAATTTGATTCTAATGAGTTATTATTATTCAAATAAGAAGGTTTTTTTAGTATAACAAATCAGAAGTACGAGAGTTTGAACCACCAACCTTAAGAAAAATAGTAGGTACCAACTACTCTTTAGCTATACTCATATTTGGCGAGAGTTAGGTTTTGCTGTGTATGAGTTATTTAAAATGAAAATCCATGAATTGTTATTAAGGTATATGATTATGCGACATGCTATTTAACAAGTGAGTCATAGTGAGACATGCTATTTGACATATTTTCAATTGTTATTTTTTACTTTAATAAAGAAAACTTATATGTGGTATTTTATAAGGAAGAGTATCGTTACAATTATCTATTTGAATTTGATATAAGTGTGAGTCATAGTGATAAGTAGTGAATTCAAGTAATTTTTCTTAGTTTAACTTTTTTCTCTCTCTCTTTACATTAGCAACCATGAAATTAGATGAGATGTAAAGTTTGTCTATACACAAAATTTAAAGTTTGACAATTTGTCAGACACGACGGTTTAAAAACTAAATTTGTAATTTTATCATAATTAAACAAGCTTGACATTTATGAGCATACTTAAAATTGTGATCGAATACGTTTTTTAGTTATAGTTTAATTTCCATCGATTTTTACATACTATATATATATATATAAGCTTAAAATAAAACAAGGTGGTTCATAAAATGATTTTAAAATAGTTTAATTTAGCATGATATGAGGTAGAGATTTGAATTCACTATCTTCTAGTTTGAGATACGTGTTTTAATCGGTTGAACTAACCTCAAGTTGGCAATAAATTTAATTAATTTTATAAGAAAGTAAATTAATACGTTGCTTAAATAAATAAATTCACGTCTTAAATGTAGCCCCATATTTACAATTAATATTCTGCACAAGCATATTAGGATAGCTATTTTTTAAAAGAAAAGAAAACCTCAAGATAGTCTAACTTGTTAGTATCATAAAAATCAACTTTGAGGAGTAATTTTATCGCAACTCTCTGAAAATAATTTTACAAACAAAAATAAAACACTATTTTCAAAACAAATATATCAAATAGCCTATAATATAATATTTAGGATTTGTCTGTCTTGGAGACGAAGGTCTAAGATTTCAAATCCACCTTGGTCCCCAAGAAAAGGAATGGAACTATCGAAATTTTTTATTGGTGAATTCAATGAACTTTGACTCTTCTCTGTCATTCATGGGAGGAGTCTCATTCAAACTTGATTACATTAAAAATACTCTTCCCTATATATGGAATGATTCGTTTTTTTTTTTTAGTTCCAAACAAAGTCATTCTTAAATGAATTTGACAATTTGGACAATATTTATAATTGTAATTATTTTAAATATATATGGTAAAACACCTCAAGAAATTGTTTTAAAAAGTATACTAAATAATATGTTAATAGATTGATTGATAATATTAAATGAGAAGAAAATTACCATCGTCACTTTTTGCTCACACTGAACTATACAATTATTTTGATAAAAATGAATCGAATTTTCGATTTTTACAAATTTATGATTTGATTCGATTAAGTAAATTGTTCAAATCGAAATTTCAGTTTAATTTCGATTGGAAGAGATGATAACTAAGGTAAAGAAATATAATTATATATATTAAATTTTACTTTTACTTTTATATGTTTTATTAATTATATTGTAAGATTTTTGAAAAGTATGGCAAAGTAACATGTCCCTCGAATCCCCCAAGCATGACAGGCGGCAAGCCATTAATTTAGTGGCTGCTGGCTGGCGGCCAGCTTTTTTATTTATTTATTTTAATTTTGTATTTCCTCTTTCTTTTTTTTCTTTTCCATCCTTCTTTTTCTCTCTTTTTCTCTTCCTCCTCACTCCCTCTCCCCTCGCCTTCATCGCTGCAACCACTACGAAAGTCGAAATACGTCACTGTAGCCATCAACTCTGTCGTAAAGTGCCGCCAACTCTGACTTCTGACTTTTGCCACGAGAATTGAGAATGGTATCTCAAATATCTCCATAATGATATGATATTATCCGTTTTCGATAGAGCTCGTTTTGTTTTTTATTTCACTCAAAATATTTTAATAGAGATAATTGTCATTTTTCATATACCATAAATCACATCTTTTCCTAGCCAAAGACTTTGTTTACCTTCTTTACCAACCTAACAATTCAGACCTGGTGGAGAGTAAGGAAAAGAAAAATACTTGTAAAATGTGGTGCGGTTCATGCGATTCGATGTGATTTGAAAATTTATAAATATTTGTTTTCGGTTTTGGTTTGATCCTAAATTCGAATCGAACTAAACCGTGAACACCATTAACTCACACGGTTAAATAGTTAATTTTTTATAGATATCAAAATACTAATTAAAAATCAATTATATTATTCATAATCTTTTGAAAATAAAAGGACCAATTAATGATAGTTTAATATTTTCAATGAGCATAGCACAACATATGTCTTTGAAGGTAATTCGTTCAAATTAGAAAAAATGGTAGTTTAATATTTGCAAATTAGATATACAATAAAGTAGTTAAAAATAATAAATAAATAAATGGTAGTTCAATATTTGCAAATTAGATATACAATAAAGTAGTTAAAAAGGAAAGAAATTGTTTGTCCTTCACCTATTTTTAGTACACTATAAATAAGTCGAAATATTGTCAGCAGAAGCAGCTCGCTTCACCGTTTTCCCTTCCCAATGGCCGACGCTCATCCTCTGTACGAAAAAGTTGCAGTTAACCGAACTTCGCAGAGAGTGTTGGATGTTATCATTTTCTTCCTCCTGATTTTGCTGCTCGCCTATCGCCTCCTCTTCCTCCGCAGCCATGGCTTCTCTTGGCTCCAACTGATTGCTTTCCTCTGCGAGTTCTGGTTCACCTTCACCTTCGCTCTCGCCGTCAATGTCACTTGGAATCCTGTCGATTACAAAACCTATCCAGAACGCCTCCTCAAACGGTAACCTATATTGCGATTTCCAGGTGTTTGAGCTATTGATTTGGGAATTTTGTATCGGAACATTTCTTAGAAGTTCATTTTTGTTTATTTGTGCGTAATGATTGGAAATACAGAGTCGAGGAGCTTCCTCCTGTGGATTTATTCGTTACAACGGCTGATCCATTGCTGGAGCCGCCGATAATCACCGTTAACACGGTGCTGTCTTTGCTAGCAGTCGATTATCCGGCGAATAAACTGGCTTGTTATGTCTCTGACGACGGCTGTTCTCCACTCACCTTCTATTCCCTCTCCGAAGCCCTGAAGTTTGCTAAGATTTGGGTGCCATTTTGCAAGAAATACAAGGTTGAAGTTAGGGCTCCGTTTAGATACTTCTCTAATGCTATAATTTCTGATGGAACAGCGGAATTCCAGGACGAGTGGAGGAGGACGAAGGTAACAAGAATTTGGAAAGATACTCTTAAAAAGAAAAAAAATGGGAATTATGAGAAAGTTTTTGACATTGTTTTGTCTTTGCTGATTTTATGATAAGGATGAGTACGAGCAGCTACGACAGAACATTGAGGAAGCTGCCAAAAATTTTTCGTTTCTAGAGCTTACAGGCGAGTTGGCAGATTTCTCCAACACACAATCAAATAATCACCCTCCCATAATCAAGGTATTGCTTCTTAGTAATAAACTGTCCAATCCAACAATTATTGATCCCAAGGTCTTTCCACTGTGCTAATCTAACATATCCCATATTTGCAGGTAATATGGGAGAACAAGGAAGGCCTTTGGGATGGATTGCCTCATTTGATTTATGTCTCGAGGGAGAAGAGACCCCAACATCCACACCAGTACAAAGGTGGCGCCATGAATGTTTTGGTAAATTTCACATTCTTCTTTATTTTAAATCCTCCACATATGCTGTGATCTTAAGGAGTCTTCTTGCGTATGTTTGATGTTTGTTGTGCAGGCAAGAGTCTCTGGATTGATGACCAATGCCCCTTATATGTTGAATGTAGATTGTGACATGTTTGTCAATAACCCTCACGTTCTTTTACAAGGGATGTGTCTCTTTCTAGACCCAATTGTTGATAAAGAATATGCATTTGTTCAATTCCCTCAATGCTTCTACAATGGGCTCAAAGATGATCCCTATGGAAACCAATGGACTGTCATGATGGAGGTGATTTCTTTACATATGTTTATGAATCTTTTGTATTTTGTATTATAAGGAAAAAATGTTTGGTTAACTGATGTTTACTATTTGTTTTTCGTTTTGGCAGTTCACTTTTCGTGGAATGGCAGGGATTCAAGGGCCTGGTTATATGGGAACAGGATGTATTCATAGACGGAAAGTCTTATATGGTCAATTCCCAGATGGTGCAAATATTGGCGGTAATTTGTATAATGCATGATGCTTCTACTCAAAATACTTAATTCATTTTTTGTTAATTACATAATTGATTTCCATTCATTTTTCAGGAAAACATTATGACAATGAATTGCATAAAATATTTGGAAATTCTAAAGATTTCGTAAACTCAGCTGCTCTTGCTTTGAGAAGCGTTACTGATCATCCAAATTCCCTATCCAGTTCTATTAGAACATCAATGGAAGTTGCTGCTTCTGATTATGAATACAGTTCTTGTTGGGGTTCCAAGGTTCGCTACATCCATTCAAATCATACTTTTTTTTTGTTTACTGGTTGTTAGCTAGCTTTTGTTTATGTGATCTTGACTGAATAGATTCTACTCAATTTAGTTGGAATCTTTACAGGTGTGTCATATTTACCTTGTTTACTTCAATAATTGTTGATTGGTTCTTAGGTGGGGTGGCAATATGGATCCTTATTGGAGGACGCGTTGACTGGGATGGAGATTCAGAAAAAAGGATGGAAATCTGCATACCTTACACCAAATCCACCAGCCTTCCTAGGATGTGCGCCCTCAGGCGGCCCAATTCCATTAAACCATCAGAAGAGAGCAATGACAGGACTACTTGAAATTTTCTTCAGCAAAAAGTGCCCCATTTTCACTGCTCTCTTTGATAAGCTCCGATTCAGGCAATGTATGGTTTATGTGTGGATGTCCATTTGGGGCATTCGTTCCATTCCAGAGATTTCTTATGCTACTCTGCCAGCATTTTGTCTTATTGCCAACTCCCATTTCTTGCCCAAGGCAAGTATAGAATACAATCTCTGTATCTCAGAACTTAGAGAGATACCCAAGTTTCATATAAACACTTGTCAATTATCAACGGTGGATTTCTCAATGCAGGTACAAGAACCAGTAGTCTGCATACCTCTTCTGCTATTCGTCTTATACAACCTACAACAACTTTTACAGTACTTCGAAACAGGCCAATCAGCAAGAGCCTGGTGGAATAACGAGAGAATGGCGAGGATAAACACAATGTGTGCTTCCTTGCTTGGGGCAGTGGCTGTGGTTCTGAAGCTTTTAGGACTGTCGGAGACTGTGTTCGAAGTAACGAAAAAGGAGTCGGCGGAGACTAGTGATGGAGATTTGGGACAGTTCACATTTGATGAGTCCCCACTATTTGTGCCAGGCACAACTATTTTGATGATTCAACTGGCAGCACTTTCAATGGGTTTGTTCGGCAGGCAGCCAATTGTGCAGGAGTTTGGGGTGGGGGAGGTGATGTGCAGCTTGTGGTTGATCTTGTGCTTATGGCCATTTTTGAAGGGGTTGTTTGCAAAAGGAAGATATGGGATTCCATGGCCTATCTTATTCAAATCCAGTGCTTTGGCATTCTTGTTTGTGTACTTGTGTCTATAATGTCTAAAATTACATGTGTTCAAGCTAGAAATGTTATAGGTAAATTGGACATATTCACATCATACATGTATGTATACATGTACACAAGGTATTTTGTATAATTTAGTTGGGTTTAGTTTTGTCCTCTTCAACCCTTCTAAAGTATTTGGTCCTATTTCTAATCAATAAATCTCATTTTGGCATCTAAGCTTTTGAATTTGTTCTATCTTGAATGGTCTATTTTGTTCTCTAAATTTATAAAAAAAAAATGAATTTTTTGTTTGTTTTTGAATTTTAAAATGTTTATTTTAATTTTATGAACTTTTCAAAAACAACCTTTTTTACTCACTATATTATTTTGTCACATTATATTCATTCAGTCAAAGCTTATAGTCTCCCAACTTATTACATGCTCATAGATGACTACACATACTTGAGAAGCTATGTCATATATTTGTTAAAGGTAAAATTAAGGCAAAGACCAAAATACTTAATTTTTTTTATTTTATTTCAGTGACTAAAATTTTTATTTTAAAAACTCAAATGCAAATTGGAGCAAATGTATGGTATATTTTGAAAATATGGTGGTGAGCAGTAAACAATTGAATCTAATTCTTTCCATTATTTTTATTTTCGTATCCATAATAGTGGATATTAATATTTATGGAGTTCCATCTCAAAACCAATTGACGATGAGAGGAGTAGCCTATATCTATTATAAACCTATGTAAGGTTCCTTCTTTTATCAATGTGGGATCTTTAACAGTGCAAAAAAAAAGAAAGGCCCAACTCTAAGTTGTTCAAGATTAGTTAGATCTCTATTTCTCCAAGGGAAGGGATATAACTCAGCGGTAGAGTGTCGCCTTGAGTGGTGGAAGTCATCGGTTCATATCACATCCCGAATATGATGAAATAGGATGAATTGAAACGGTATTTATGCGTTTGGTAAAGAATCAAAATTTTATTTTGGAATCAAAACACCAAATTATCTTCAATTAATAAATAGCATGATATACGATGTCATCAAATAGAAAGTATTCTTCTTCTTCTTCTTCTTTTTTTTTTTTTACTAATAGTTGATTCTTTGAAAAGCATGAGACCTTCTTTTTAATATAACTAATATTTTCAACACCAAATTTATTTCAAACATAATGTTTATGAAATTGTTCTATCACGAGGTTATCTCTAAAAAGGACGTTGTCCACTTAAGATATTAGTTGTCTCTTCAAAACATCACCTACACATTAATTGACGCCACCTATTTCTTTTTTAAGAATAAGTCTGGCCACATAAAATTTCCTAGATATCTATGCATCTTCCAATGTTTTTCTTTTAAGCAAACTTGAGAAAATCCAACAAAATCTTAAGGAAAACAAATTTAAAAAAAAATTGATTTAATTAATTAAACCTTTAAAATTTAAACTAAATATAACTTTAAAAAAATGAGATGAAATGGTCCCATGTTTGTTTCCATAAATATTAATGAAACAGAGACAATAAATGGTTTCCTAATGGCGGTTGGGACTGAAGTCCCGAAATCGCAAGCGAAAAATACAATGGATCTTCATTTAAATTGTGCTATTAAAATTGTTCCTTGTGAGGTGTGAGGGAAATGAGTCCATTGAGTGGGTGATTGGCGAGTCGAAGACTGATAGACTCAATTAAGACGCCATAGAACAAGCAGAGGCTTGAAAACGTCGAGAGAGGCGAAAGCGACAAATCGCTTCTACCGAGTTCCCCAATAGCTGCTTAGCGTCCTTCTTTAGTTTAGGAGAGTTTTGAGTTGAGCAGCCCCTTCTCCGAAAGCTCCGCGGAACCACTCGGAATGATCTCGAGATGGAAGCGGGAGCGGAGAGCCCAGCTTGAAGGTCTTTGGTGCAGTCCAACCTAACTATTTAATAAAATGAAAGCACTGTGATTATGACATCAGGGCTGTAATTGAAGCAAACACTTGGCTTTAGAGCCCTATCACGTAATCAAGAATCTAAGGTTCTATTTAAGTTAGAATTTGAATTTAAATCTAAATATATTTAATTTTCATCTAATTTTTCAAAGTTACATTTAGTTTAAATTTTAAATGTTCAATGAGTTAAATCAATCTAAAAAAATTTAAGATTTGAAAAAAAATGTTAGAATTTTTTAATTTTAAATTATTAATTTAATGGTGAATAAGGACCAATGTAAATAACAAATAACTCAGAGGGAATGAATTCAATAATCACATATCTACAATTTTTTTGCAGTCGTTTTCGTTTTCTTCGATCTTCCCAATATGATTTGACATTGAAAATGAGAAAAGCATGAATCACGACCAACATATATATGTAGTTTTTTTTTTCAAGCCATGTTATAAATAAATTAAATATATGCAAGGAGTTGATCAACATCCCTCATTGTAAGGTTTTCTTGCAAGAGATTGTTAGAATTGTTTAGAAAAACTATTTCAAACTAGCTTTTTAATTCTACGAAGAAATATTGTGTAAAAATATGTTTAGTGAACAATTTTTTTCAATATATTTTCTTTTATTGTTTCACGAATAATTTATTTTTCAAAAGTTAAAGATGTTATTCACGTCACAGCTAAAGATTTATAAATAGTAGTTATTTACCATTCAATTAGTCGCATTTTAAGAAAAATATTTCAAGACACTCTTCAAAACAAATTTTGATACTTCTTTGCTTGGAGACCAAGCGACAAGAAATCATGTTCTCCTTGGCCCCCAAGAAAATGAATGGATTGATTGACAGAGCTGAGAGCCATCACCCAATTTTGAATCTGACAAAATTTTAGAAAACTGTCTGTTAGAAAATTCAATGAAGTTGACTCAGCCACCATATTCTTGGGAGTCTAGATTTTTATTAAATTACTCTATTTTCACTATTTTTATAGTCTATTATCTTCAAACCGCATTTTTTAATATTATTTTTAATTAAAATTATTTTTAAAATAATGCAGATTTATTAAAAAATATGGAAAAAAATGCAACTAAACTCAAAAATAAAATATTGTTGTTGTAGAAAAAAGGGGTTTGATCGACGACTATCTGACGTGGCACAATCTAGCGCCACATTATTTTTTTTTAAAACGGAACTAAGAGACGACCACCTCACATAGTCATCTCTTCAAGAGACGACTATTTGAACGGTTAGGAAAAAAATATTGTTTTATATTTTATAATATTCAGTAGTTCTTATGTAAAAAAGCTCCTAGTGTGGGTGTATTGCTATCCTATCAACCCTTCCACCAGTTCAAGTCTCGGACATGTATCCCATTTTTCCTTTTCATAACAATTAATCATCGTTTTTCTCTTTTTTACTTAATATTATCATTAACCCATTTTTTCCTTTCATAACAACTAATTAACACTTTTTCTCTGATTACTTAATATTATCATTCCCATCACAGGTTGTTTTTTATATATTATTATTTATTTAATAATAATAATAATTTTATTCTTATTACTATCATTGTATTTTCTTTTATTTTATATAATATTGTTTATATTTTATATATTATTAATTACTTTTTTCTTTTTTATTTAATATTATCATTTCCATCTCAACTTCTTTTTTTATATATTATTATTTCTATTCTATATATTATTATTTATTTAATAATAATAATAAAGTTATTATTATTACGAATATTGTATTTTCTTTTCTTTTATATATTATTGTTTATATTTTATATATTATTATTTATTTAATAATAATAAGTTTATTATTACTATCATTGTATTTTTTTATTTTATATATTATTAAATAAATAATAGTGTATATATATAAAAGAAGTTCGGATAAAAATGATAATATTAAGTAAAAAAGAGAAAAATAAATAATAATATATTAAAATAAAAGAAAATACCAATGATAGAAAGTTATTATTATTATAAATAAATAATAATATAAAAAAAGACTGGATGATTAATGGTTATAAAAAAGAAGTAAAAAATAGAAAAGAGATGATTAATGGTTATAAAAAAGAAAAACGTGTGTACTAAGATTCAAACTTGAGATGGTAGGAATATTAGGATAACAGTATACTAAGTACTAATAAGAGGTTTTGGACTTGTAAACTATTAAATAATATATAATATAAAAAAACTAATTTCTTTTACAAAAATCAATCGACGGATCGGGCAGTCGTCTCTTGAAGAGACGACCACACTTCCGTCTTTAAAAAAAATTGATGTGGCACCATCTGGCGCCATGTCAGATGGTCATCGACCAGAAAACATTCGTCTCTTCAAGAGACGACCAAACCCCATTTTTTTTACAACAACAATATTTTTAGAATAAATTTCCAAAATGACATTTTTTCTGATAAGTCAACATTATTTTAAAAATAAGTTTAATTAAAAACATTATTAAAAGAAAATTCATCTTCAAACATATTTTATTATCTGAAAAAATTATTTTTCAATAACACTGCACCATTATTATTGATTTAAACGTAATTTAATTGATTAAGATATATATTCTAACTTGTATGTAAATGACGTTACAAATTAAATATTTCTGACTAATTAATCGTGAATCGGACAAAAAAATAAAAAGGTAAATCATGACCGCACCGGAAAATTCCTTTTTATGACACTATATATAGGCCACAATGTTATGGGAGAGCGTCATGCATTGTCCCTCATCTTCCCCATGGCCAATCCCAACCCTCGTCCTCTGTACCGAAAATTTGCAGTTAGCAGAATTTTGCAGAGAGCGTTGGATGTTACCATTTTGTTCCTCCTGATTTCGTTGCTCGCTTATCGCCTCCTCTTCCTCCGCAGCCATGGCTTCTCTTGGCTCTATGCGATTGCCTTCCTCTGCGAGTGCTACTTCACCTTCGCCACCTCCCTCGCCGTCAATCTCACTTGGTCCCCTGTCGATTACAAAACCTATCCGGATCGGCTCCTCAAACGGTAACCCTACAACTTCTAATTCACCCAATAAATTGTGTCGCATCGCAACGATTTCATACACTTCAATTTGTTCCAATTCGTCTCTAAACTTTCCAATTTGAAGTTGAATCGAACGAATTCGACATAGCATTGCTGTTAATTTTATGCTGAATGATGATTGGAATACAGAATCGAGGAGCTTCCGCCGGTGGATTTATTCGTCACGACGGCGGATCCAGTGCTGGAGCCGCCGATAATCACCGTCAACACGGTGCTCTCTTTGTTAGCAGTCGATTATCCGGCGGATAAACTGGCTTGTTACGTCTCCGACGACGGATGTTCTCCCCTCACGTTTTATTCCCTCTCCGAAGCTCTGAAGTTCGCTAAAATTTGGGTGCCGTTCTGCAAGAAATATAAGGTCGGAGTTAGGGCTCCGTTTAGATACTTCTCCGGTGATTTAGCCTCTGATGGATCATCGACGGAGTTCCAGTGCGAGTGGAGGAGAATGAAGGTAACGAGAATTTGGAAGATATTCTATGAAAATTATAATGAATGAAAAAAATAGGAATCGTAAGATATGGTTTTTTATATGGTTTTTTGTCTTAATTGTTTGTATGATAAGGATGAGTACGAGCAGCTACGGCAGAGGATTGATGAAGCGGCAAAAAATTTTGCATTTCGCGACATTGCGGCCGAATTGGCAGATATCGATAACACAAAACCAAATAATCATGCACCTATAATCAAGGTACTCAACTTTCAAATTTATAATATGAATTTAAATATGCATATTAACGTGTTAACGTAAATATATAATTATATCAAAATATTGGTAGAGGAAATATGAGTCTATTGTGTTAGAGTGGATGGTTTGAACTCATAATCTCTTAATCGGAGATAGGTACCAATTATCACTGCTGGACTAGGTTCATATTGGCGTACAGATGTTTGAAATTGACAATTTAGTATTTGTATTTTATTATATAAATGACAAATTTAGTCTCATTTAAATAAAATATTATAAAATAATAGCTAAAACATTTACAAATCCAATAGTAACTAGAATATGAAGAGGAGTTATTAAAGTATGTCAAGCTAAAATATTGCAAAAAATATTCCATATAAAATTTAATAAGTGATTATTATTGATTATAGTTCTTTTTATAATACAACAATAGGGTGGAGATTCAAATTCATGCATCTTTTGGTTAGAAATGCTCAAATTGTCTTATTGATTATAGTTAATCAATATATAATATAATAAGAGATTCTTATAATTACAATTAATCAATATTTATTATCGATGTATATCAATCAATGATTATCATATAAATTTTTTTAAAAAAATTATTATCTTATAAACCTCCAACGCCGTATATCGTATAAAAAAGAAAAATGACTATCATATAAAATTAAATTTTTAAATGCTATACTTGCAATTATTTTAAGCGAAAGATATATTTGTAAATTTTAAAAATATATATATACTTACAAAAAAAAATTAATGAACCTACCCATTTAAATTCTTAAAGAATAAAATCCTAAAGACATATACATAGGTATGTTAAAAGTTCATTAATATTTTTTAAAACAAAACTTAATACATATAAAAATTGATTTTTTTAAAATAGAGGTTTTATATATAAGATACACTAGTTTTGGGTAATCAGTTATTAGGTAGGAATATATAATATATATTTTGAAAATTTAAAGCCCTTTTCTATTTCCTTTTTTTAATAAAGAAAAATAGAATTACATGGCTCAACACCAATAGATTAAAAATTGATGAAACAAAATTTTTATTTATATTTTAAAATAGATTAGAAAGGAAAAAAAAAACTGTTTTTTGCTTTCCTAAATTTCTATACAATTTTGATAATATTTCTAAAAATTAAGGAAAAAATATAAATAGTTGTAAAATGAAGTTTTTTAATAAAATAGGAAACAAGAAACTACCCGACACTCTTAGCGACCAACAAAAATAACCTAAAAATCGAAGGACAAATTTAAGCCCAAATTTTCTTACAATTAACTTTTAAATTTTTGTGTACTTACTTCCCTTGGAAAGTTTATCTTCCTCTTACTCTACTAATTAAACACATCCCATTTGCAGGTAATATGGGAGAACAAGGAAGGCCTTTGGGATGGATTGCCTCATTTAATTTATGTCTCGAGAGAGAAGAAGCCCCAACTTCCACACCATTACAAAGCTGGCGCCATGAATGTTTTAGTAATTTTCACATTCTCTTACCCTAAATCTCCTCTCTATATTCTATGATTTCAACTAATCTTATTAATACGTGTGTTCTTGTTCAATACGCAGACTAGAGTCTCTGGATTAATGACCAATGCCCCTTATATGTTGAACGTGGATTGTGACATGTTTGTCAATAACCCCTCCGTTCTTTTACACGGAATGTGTCTCTTTCTAGACCCAATGATGGATAAAGAGTGTGCATTTGTTCAATTTCCTCAATGCTTTTACAATGGACCTAAAGATGATCCCTTTGGGAACCAATGGATTGTGATCATGGAGGTGATTTATTTATTTATTATCATGAATCTTCTGTACTTTGTAATATGCTTGTGAAATAATGGGTTTTTAACTGTTTACCTTCTTTTTTTTTTTTTTTGGCAGCTCATTTTTCGTGGAATGGCAGGAGTTCAAGGGCCTGGCTATATGGGAACGGGATGTATTCATCGGCGAAAAGTCTTATATGGTCAATCACAAAATGAAGCTAACGTTATTGGTAAATAACTTTATTATTAGTCGGCTTTTCTCATATGAAAAAAATAATAATAATCACAGAGTTCAGTTTGCTTCTATTCAAATTATTTGGTTTCTTTTGTGTTTACACAATTCATATCCAATCATTTTGCAGAGAAACGTTATGACGATGAGTTGTATAAAACATTTGGAAATTCAAAAGATTTCGTAACCTCAGCCACTCGAACTTTGAGAAGCGTCACAGATAATTCGAATTGCCTATCCAACTCTATCAAATCATCAAGTGAAGTTGCTACTGCTGATTATGAACACAATTCCTGTTGGGGTTCCAAGGTTGCTTTCAAATACATCCTCTTATTGTTTGGGGTTCCAGTATAAACAAAAATAATTACATTAAATTGAGCACAGGTTAGCTCTAGTTTTTGCGAGCTTGACAATAGGTTCTACACGAAATTGAGTTGGAATCTATTATAGACGTGACTATAGAGTGAGTAATAGTCTCCTAGTTCTCTTAGATTAAGAAAGTTTCCTCTCTAACTCGTCTTCCTAAATCTTCAAACTTAAAAGATTATTTTGTCAGTCCCTATGAAAATTTCTTCAACTCCGCTCCAATGGAAACGAGAGGAACGTAAAACAAGACGAGTTGTTTTCATAATTACCTTGTTTACTTCAATAGTTGCTGATTGGTCCTCAGGTGGGTTGGCAATATGGATCCGTAGTAGAGGATGTGTTGACTGGAATGGAGATCCATAAAAGAGGATGGAAATCTGCATACATTACACCAACTCCACCAGCCTTCCTAGGATGTGCGCCCTCAGGCGGCCCAGTTCCATTAACCCATCAAAAGAGAGCGATGACAGGACTTCTTGAAATTTTCCTCAGCAGAAGATGCCCCATTTTCACTGCTCTCTCTGATAAGCTCCAATTTAGACAACGTTTGTTCTATCTGTGGATGTTTCTGATGGGCCTTCGTTCTATTCCAGAGATATGTTACGCTACCCTGCCTGCATTTTGTCTAATTGCCAACACTCATTTTTTGCCCAAGGCAAGTATAGGATACAATCTCGATCTCTACATCTCAAAACACAGAGATATTCAAGTTTCATATAAGACTGCTAGTTATTACATGAAATTCGAGGTAAAACAACTATGAATTTCTGTATGCAGGTACAAGAACCAGTAATATGGATACCTCTTCTGCTTTTCGTCCTTGTCAACTTACAACAACTGTTGGAGTACTTGGAAACGGGCCAATCCATAAGAGCCTGGTGGAATAACCAGCGAATGGAGAGGATTAAGACAATGTGTTCTTCATTGCTTGGAATGGTGGCTGTCATTATGAAGATTTTAGGACTATCGGAGACTGTGTTCGAAGTAACAAAAAAGGAGTCATCTTCTACCAATGGCGCCCAGGGTACTGATGGAGATTTGGGTCGGCTCACATTTGATGAGTCCCCATTCTTTGTGCCAGGCACAACCATTTTGATGATTCAACTGGCGGCACTTTCAATTGGTTTGTTAGGAAGGCAGTCAATTGTGCAAGAGTTTGGGGTGGGGGAGGTGATATGCAGTGTGTGGTTGATTTTGAGCTTCTGGCCATTTTTGAAGGGGTTGTTTTCCAAGGGAAGGTATGGGCTTCCATGGCCCACCTTATGCAAATCCAGTGCTTTGGCATTCTTGTTTGTTGTGTACTGTGTCAAATGACTAATAAAGTGATATCAATAGGTTTTGGTCAGTTACTAAAATGATGTATTCAAGCTAGGATGGTTTTATGTTTTTTATCATCTTTATGAAGGGTTGATTCATAATAATAAAACTCCCCATATCCACTATTTGCTAAGTCAGCTGTGATGACCCAGTGCTTTAGCCAGTAAAATATAGTGTCGTCTGGCAGACAATACCGAGATTTCGGTTGGATGGTGTGTATAAATCTAATATACTCAGCAAAATGCTAGTTTGAAAGGAGTTTGTCAGTCGCGTGAATCCACGGTATGTTAGTTATGTCTGCAATGGACATCAACAGCATATGGCCATTTTATAAAATCAAAGAATGCATTTTCAGTAATAACTACACTACGCTGCTACAGATTTAAAAAAGAAAAAGGGAAGAAAATTACAGGAAAAGCTCAGTGGCAGCGTGTGCTCTTCTTCAGAAAAAAAACTAAAGATGCATCACTTTGGGGGGACTGCAAGATGGCTATCGAGCATAAAAGAAAGATCGTGCATCTTTCCCATCATCTTCTGTACATCATCAGAATTTGAACCTTCAGAATTTTCTCCAGTTTTTTCGTTCTCTTCACCAATCCTAAAACATGAAAAAATGTTGAGGCTAAGCAACAAGTTGTCCGATCGTTTCCATGAAGTAGAACATATAAATGAAAGCTAGAACGGAGTGATGCATTTGCATAAAAAATAGAGTGGGTAATGATTGATGGACAGAGCAATTTTAGTGAGCATAGACCGAATATTTAGACTAGGAACCACCTAGCCATGGTAGCAGGGGAATGATATCACAATTTCGACTGTGTCAATGTTGTATTTCGACAATCTAGCAGGTTGCTTTACAACAATAATTGATTAATTTGTACATACCTGCTTAAATCAGAAGCATCTGGCCGTGTTGCTTTTTCTTCTACTGTACCATCTGGAGGGAATGCTTCTGCAAATGAATTTGGCTGAGAAGAGTTTCTAAGATTACTATCCCTTGAGGTCGTTGAGCTGAAGAAATCTATTTCTGATATCTCATCCACCTTTGGCTTCGTGGTCGAGCTAGTAAAATCATCCCAGGCATCAGCTGAGTCATCATCTTTAGAAACACTTTTATCATCAGGTTTCTTTTTGCTCCCTCCTCGCCGCTGATCATCTTGAAACCAATCACCACTTGCTGATGAAGAAAAATCTGCAGTTCCTACAGTTCTACCATCAGTTGAAATTCCAGTTTGCTCGACCTGTCCAGGCATACGAATGGATTCATGATTGGAACTACTCCATAAATCATCCTGTTGTTGAAACCAGTCATTGGTTACTGATGAAGAGGAGTTTTTAGTATCTTCTATTGCTCCACTTCTGGAATTTTTTTGGCGTCCAAATGTTGTTTCCAAAGAGGAAGCAGCAAAAGGATCAATTGATTTAGAATTATCACGAGTTGCGGCACTAGCAGACTGAAACTTTGCCTCCCAACCAGAAGAGGAATCGCCACTCTCCTGTTTAGCTATCGTTGTCGCTGTCCCAAAAGCTTGAACATCTCCAAAAAAACTTTCAGAACCATCTATTTGTTTATTCAGTGGTATTGGCTCATCAGATACTTTTGAAGTATTGTCTTTTTTTTCCTCAGAAAAGTAGTAGTCAAGATCAACTCCAACCAAATTCAAGGTACTTTTTTTACTTGGAGCTGGGATCTCGTCTGCAAGCCCCTTTTTTTCAGATTCAGGCCACTTGATCTCTAAATCTAAAAGATCCGTCAGTGGAAACTGCTCTGGTGATTTTCCCCGGTTCAATTCCTTTGAATCGATCGGCCCCACCATCTCCTGCAAAACAATTTCAAAGATCATCCCAAAGGAACCCTAGATATGCTACAATATAAATTAAGAAACTCAAATGCAGAAAATACTTTGGGCTAAACTCAACTTCTGGAATCCAAAGTACAGAGTATCGAAAACTGTCCATTCCAGATAAATTATGAATTCACAGAAGAACATCATCAATACTAGAACCATGAACATGAGAATTTAGATAGCAAGTCCATGCCGGAACAGAAGCTTTTAATATTCTAAGAGATTTTTCTCTGAAACTATAACTAAAATTTTCCATCAACCCTCGAGACTATAAGAACGAACAGATTATTTTACAATCAGCAACAAAATTTTCGCAACAAGCTGCCCTGGCGAGACGAGTAAGTAGCTCATTCCAATCACAAACAGGGGAAACTGAAGTTTAACTCTCTTCCCCATTCCCACACGAATCTAAGCAAATATACAAGAAAAGCACAGGATTCTAATAAAAATAGAAGAACCTACCGATCCATCCAAGTCCAAGGACTCGAGCAACCATCGACAAGCGATGGTATTCTTAAAATTAATAGGGTCCGGAGGGACGTCCGTGTTCTGTTCCCTGCCGCAGAAGACGCAAATAAATGATTTCAAGTCTCTAAGCAATCTTCCTTTGCAATGTTTGCAGCGAAGATAAGGCGGCGAGGGATCGAGGTCTGCAATTGTTTCATCGAGCGATGGTAGATTCGGAAGCGAAGGATCGTGTGGGTCGTAGGAGGAGATATTGGCAGCATTTCGAAGTGAGATCTGAAGTTGTTTGATCAGATCGTGTGGAATTTCATACGCCATTAGAAGGATTTAAAGGTGCTCGCAGTGTATTCGGCTGTTGTTAGCAAGAGCGTGTGCCTTCTCTGTGAATTTCGAAAATGACGACCTCGGAGAAGATGGCATTTCGGAATACAGAAAGAATGCCTAAAACGCAGCGTATTACGGAAGGAAGAACTCGCTATTCAAAGTCGCGCTTTTCGACTCAGATTTTCTCTAGATTATGATTTATGATTTTATGCCATTATATTTGTGCTTATAGAAATTAGAAAAGTTGTCAATTTTGTTTCTAACTTAACTTTTTGCATAATTCAACGAATGTTTTTAGTGCAAAAATATACGGAGGTTAGAATTTCAACGTTCGATCTTTTGGTTGGAAATACATACGGATTTAAATTAACTATAATTCAATGAGTTGAAAGTAAATATTTTAAGCTAAAAGTTAATATTAAATTGATATTTCTCATAAAGTTAATCTAAATAAATTTAATTATTGTTAACTTTGATTTTTAGTTGTACTAAAAAAAAGCTTCATTTCTAGTTTTAATAGCTTGAGAAAAATACATTTTAACTAATTAAATTATTATTAAATACAAATAATTATTAACTTTCATTTCTAGTTGTACCAAAAAAACTTTTGGTTTCTAGTTTTAATAGTTTGATCTCCTCTCGGGATTCTAATGCTCTAGTCTTTCACTGTCGGACAAATCCTCCCATTTGAGGATGAAAATTTTAATTTTTATAATGGTATCTTTTATTATTATTATTTTTTTCATACAAGTAGGATGCGAATTTTGAACCCATGGTCACGATCCGGTGTTAATTAGGAATAGCTAGTGCATAATCGTACTTTTTACTTCATCTTCATTAAATTATTCAATGCTTTTTCTAATCAAAATTTTGTTTGTATTCATCTTCTAAACTCAATCAGTTTTGACATAATCTTCACAACTTTATAACCCACATTGACAATTTTAATTCCAAACCCAATAGAAAATTGACAGTGAACAGGTAGCGAAGAAGGTAACAAAAAAAGTGTAATTTAGATTGATACGATGCTCCCATTAGTCTCATGATTTGCCCACTCCGTTTGATTTCTACTCCACATTTTATTATTCCCTTCTGTAATCCATCTTCTCCGACGAGCTCGTTTCGATTTGTGGAGAGACGCAGAGAGATAGGGAAATGGCAGTGAAGGGTGTGGGCTGGTGCTCTCCAGGAGCGACGAAGGTGGGATTGGGTTTTATGGGTCTTTTTGTAGCAGCTTATATTGTTGCTCCCCCTCTCTACTGGCACTTCATCGAGTGCTTGGCCGCCGTCTCTTCTTCCTCTTCCTCCACTTGCCCTCCTTGTTTCTGTGACTGTTCTTCTTACACTGACTTCGCCATTTCTGAAGGTGAGTTTCCATTTTTTCCCCAAATCAAACACTGAAATAATGCCATCATCATGTTCTTACGGATCTATTTCCTTTTGCGCTTGTTGGGTCCATTTTTGTGGTTTTTTAGATTGCCTCTTAGATCTCATGATCCATTTTGCCAAAATTTTAGTTTACACCGTTGCTACCTTTTTGATGATTTGTTTCTCTTAGTCTTTTACTGATGATTCTTGGGTTGCTTTATTCTGTTTCTCCTTAATCGAGGAGGATAATGGCAATGGATATATTAGCATTATCTTCTTTCTGCCATTAATGGCTTCAGCATTTTTAGATTTGTTTATGCCATCGTTGGACTTGAATATCATTTATATTGTCATTTCTCGTGTATGTTAGCATTGCAAAGAATGTAAAGTTTAAGGCTTTAGTTAGTTGGATTTGAAGTCTTATTCACAGTTTAGATTTTATTAGCTCCACTTGTATCTTTGTCAAACACAAGAAAAAGAACAAAACATTGTTTGTGAAAGTTCAGTTGTATGTTGTATAAATTGTATTTATATGGAGTAGACACCTAAATTATGAATGATCGAAGTTCTTGCTTTAGAAGACAAACATTTAGCTTGTTACTCAATGCTTAAGCTATCTGGCCACTCTCTGCGTATTGATTGCAGTTGACACTAATGTTAGTATAATAATTCGAGTCATGGAGTTGTGGTGCATGGAATAGCGTCTCGGTTTAGTATGGGTTTGGTGGACAAAGGCGAGGGCAAGAGAGAGTGTTTCGGTTTAGTATGGAACTCACATTCAAAAAATCTTCACAATTGATAAATGTTTACTTCCTGGGGTTTTCCTTGGCTGTGTTCCTCTCTCTCTATCTGCAAGTATTCCCCTTTTTAAGTGAGAGAAGTCGTCTTGTTTTATTTAATTTTCACAAGCTTGTACCTTCTGAATGTTGTTACTTGTTAGAGGATTCGTTCTTATAGTTTCCTTAGCAAAGTATTATCATAAAACTGATTCTTAATTTGATTTCTTGCTTTGCAGAGCTCGAAAACACGACTTTTAGAGGTTAGTCTTCCTTACACTTAGACTTGCATATTATAGATTGTAGGAAATCTCATCCTCTTGCAAGAATCTGTTACTCTGTTCTGGCATTTGTATTGATTATTTACTCATTTCTAATCAAAGAACTACCTGCTACTACAAGCCTACTTCGGCCTTTTCTAGTTGATCGGAGCTTAAAGTCTTACCGCCATTTTATTCTGTTCCAAATTTCATACCTAAGATCTCACACAACCACATAAAATTATGTCTTATAGTCTAAAATTTGCAAATCCTTTAAGCTTGAGGTGTTTGTTAATTGTTATGGAAAACAAACGTGGCTAATGAAGTGATATTGTCTTTAGTGTAGATGTTGTGTGTCTTTAGTGGTTATAGAATGAGTTCTTTGTTGCCATTTTTACAGATTGTGTGAAACATGACCCTGGTATGAATCGGGAAACAGAAAAGAGTTTTGTGGAGTTGTTGTCGGAGGAACTGAAACTGAGGGAAGCTGAAGCTTTGGAAAGTCACCGTCGCGCCGACATATCTCTGCTGGAAGCAAAGAAGATGACATCTCAATATCAGAAAGAAGCAGACAAGTGCAATTCAGGTATGGAAACATGTGAAGCAGCAAGGGAAAAAGCTGAAGCTTCATTAGTTTCACAGCAGAGGCTAACAGCATTATGGGAGACAAGGGCTCATCAAAGAGGATGGAGAGGCGACATTGTCAGATCCCGTGCTCTGGCTCGTGGTACAGTTCAAACCACATAAACGAAACCCGATGCTCATTCAAGTGGCTGCTTTTACAGTAGCTTGGAATTCATGGAGCCAGAAGCCAGTACTGAGCAAAATTTGATTAGTCTACGATGGAGCCCAAGATTTTCTTACTTATCCCACTTCCTTTTCTTCTTGAAAGTTCAGCTTGTGTGAACATCAAACATAGAAATATATTATGGAAAAGATACTAACCAGATGACTCCCTCCCAGAGATCATGACCTGAAACCTTTGACAAGGTTGAGCAGCAATTTTTCCTGTAATGCTGATTGGACTGTTTCAATATTAAGAGATCAAAGACAATACAAAGAAATTGCATGGCGTATGAATTCAGCCATTTGTTGAACCCACATTTTTGTTCACTAATACATAAGGCTTGAACTAAAAAGGAATAAAAGTCACAAACAACAGTCAATCTAAGCATACTTCAACTAGATAAGATATATATCTATGTCGAAGATTTGAATCTCAACTCCCTATTGAAAAAAGAAAAAAATACAATATTTAACAAAAGGTAAGATTGGGAGTGGAATGGAAGAAATCAAATTTCTCAGCAATATATTCTTGTTAAATGGCACCAACAATAGCAACAGCTAGAGAAAATGTGAAGTCGGTACAAAATACAGTGAGAAATTACAACTTTAGGAAAACTAAGGGGTAAGGAATTTCACAGGTATTATACATCAATATTAACGAGCTAAGTGAATGGTGAGATCATCCAAGTTGTCAGAGCCATTTATACTTAACCCATGCTCGTTAGCTAAATGTAATAGGCATATAAAACACAAATGGGGCGAGATATCATTGATGGTTTGAGCAGCTCTGCATTCATTTGGAAAGGTGGCAAGGATTTGCTTGAAAGATACCGACTCATCTTCACCCTTTTCATGAACAAAAATATCTGAATTAGAATTTCTCCATTCACAGGAGTGAGGAGTGAGTGTGTGTGTAATAACAATGACAAAAGATAAACTTCCATAAATAGTACTGTACCTTAATTGGAATTCTAATTCTATAACTAATTTCTATCTTAACTTGTTCCTAAAAAGCCATAGACTCAAAAATGAACGAACGAATTATCAATGCTGCACACCGAGTTACATAGAATGGAATAGAAAACGTCCATAGATTATTTGGGAGAGTTCGGCTTTTGTTCACGTCAAAATGTCCTCAAATCAAGTTAGTTAAATCAAACAAAATCAGATAAAGTGAAACTTGTGTTAACATGTTCCGAATTGTGCATGTAAAGATACCTGAGCATCCGTTTGAGATTCTTGTAAATGAGACCAGAGTGTTTCTTTCAATGCCTGGACATCAACTTGCTTTGATGTTTTGTCGTATTGAACTTCAATTTTGTTAACCTGTACCGTTTGAAAGCAGGAAGCAATCATGAAAATATGTTTGCATTTTTTCTTTCTTACCGAATCGTAAAAAACACAGCATATCAAACTACAATAACTCCAAAAGTTGAATTACGTTTTGCCAGATAAATTAGACCACAATTCCCACACATAAGGTTCGCTATCATTCACGGCCACAAGGGTTAAAATGAAAATTTAAGTACAATGAATTGAACCTGACGAGGCTGAGTAACGAGTGCATCAGAGTCCTCCACATCACTATGACCATCACCTTCATCGTATTGGCCACCAAATACATTCTCATCTTCCCAGGATGGCGATGTTCCATAATCATCGTTATGCTGCGTTGGTTCATCTAAAAAAGTGGAACGCCAAAAAGGTCTATTAGAACACCATAATTTCATAAAAACAATAATATCATTTCTCGCAAGTAGCCAAGAAGGTGAACAATCTCCGAAATGATTGTAAAATCATCACTAAACATCATAGATATACAGTAGTACCTGATAGCTGTCTTCCCCTCCTCCTAAGGCACTGCATCCAAAATAATTATTTCATGAGAGTTTTGGGAAAAAATTGAAGCTGGGATGCTCCCCATTTCAACAACTAACGAGATGGTAATGTGGTGACAAAATTTACCTTTACATTAGGCAAAAGAAATAACTTCACAAGATCTTCAGGCTGGTAGTGGCAGTCTTCAGGAAGCTTAGTATTGCAAGGTGCTCTATTCTTAGACAACAACAACGCTTTGGGGTTTCTTGGAGGTGCAAATAGATCTGAAACTTCTTTATCCAAGGATTTTGTGAAATCAATATCATTTTCTGCTTGTTTCTTAGTTCTTGCTCTCTTGGTTGTCGTTTGTGATCCGTTTTCTGTAGGACTATCACTAGAACCTATAATAAGATTCCATATTACAGAACATACCAGTAGAAACTCAAGACTAATATACTAACTTACAAAATGATTTAAACCTACTATCCTAAGCAATACCTTTAGTTTTACGATACTTCCAATGTTCAGGGCCTGCCCAAGCATTCTGTCTTGCAGTAAGACCCAAACATGAAATCAAATACTCATCAACTTTCCCCAATCTTTCCTCAGCATCAGGGTCACGGTAAGTAGACGACACACTTTCCTGTTATACTTCAAGACATTAGTAACCATTCAAATTTTATTTCGAGTATCTCAATGCTACATATGAATTGATTGAAACTAATTGTATGAGTATGAATGACGGAAAAAATGACCTCGTGGTAAGTTGGAAAACCTGCACTTCCCCCACCTGGTCCATCATCAACCATGCTTGTTTGGTCATCATTATCGTAATTTGTAGTACCAAAGTTATCAAAATTGTCGCCATCAAACCTGTCGTCTACATCATAATCCATATGAACTTTCTCGGCTCCTTTCAGACCTGAACTACAGTAATCTGAAGGTCGTCTGTTATCTTCATCAAATAGGTTGACTATATTCCTTAGAGTTGGCGAAATTTCATCCTTCACTCGCATATTCAATACCATCTCCTCGATGCAGTCTATAGAAGCAGGAAAAAAATGCTTTACGGTGTAAGTCTATCAGTTTGAACCATGTGACAACATAAAACGTGAAAAATCAACTATATAAGATATTATCAGCAAGAAGTTTAAGCCACAAACCTCTGGCGAAAGAGATATCAATCATATCAGAGCTATCGTGTCTATTTTCGCAAGACATACATTTCCCAGGCACTTCCTCTGAATCGAAGAGCACCCTACACGCACCATATACTCCAAGATTATTCATTAACAGACCCTTGGCTCCACCCTCATCAAATTGAGCAGATGTCTGATGATAAAGAGGATCCACTGCAAATGCCACTGACATCACAGAAAAAACCAAATTATAACCTCATCCTACATCTAACGTTAGCAGAAAGAAAGCATCAGATGTGTGATCACCATCAAATTTCTTCACATTTAGAGCCTCAAAAGATGACTCCAGCGTTGACAAAGGAGATAACTGCCAAATACAGACTTATGTTAATTGTTAACATACATATCCAGACAGAAATTCATTTTACTTGTCAAAACAGACTTTCAACCTTTTTATCCTGCTCCTTTTTTGAATGAACTCCCTCCTGCTCACTTTCTAGATTTCCATCCTGCATGATAGTTTCTGAAAATACAGAAAGATGTCAGAACGAAAATAGCTGATATGAAAAGGGAAACTATGTAAAAATGGGCTGCAAGCCAGAAACCTAAAAGAGGTATAGAAAAAAAGGAAGATATATGGTAGAGTAATTAAGCACAACCAATTCAACAAGAATATCAAATGGCAAAGGGATATCATAAGACGCTAACATCTGTAATAACTGTTGTTTTATGCAAGTTTAAACATTGATGGTTGATACCATTGAGTTTGGATAATATATTTATAATTTCAACAATTCAATTTAAAAATGGGATAGTTATTTGAAAATGAACTTGTTATTGAACTCCCTTCAATTGACGACCAAACATTGATACTCCCTATGGTGTCAAAAACTATAAGCAGAGAAAGAGGCAAACGTTTGAGATTACAAGTTTACCTTGATCATCTTCTTGGCCGGCCCTGTTCATCCCTCCAAGGACTTTATATGCCTCTGAATGAACGGAATCCACCCTTAATGAGTAGATCTTAACTCCAGCTTCAAGAGTACAGCTTGCCTAAAGAAAAAATATCATCCAAACATTTTCAACCAATTTTGGAGCAGGAAGATGGAGGGACCATTTTCAACCAATTTTCAAGACCATAAACCCGATCATTGATGAGCAATGTCCATTTTATTCACAAGCTTATTTACTGTAGTAAGGCATGTATGCGTACAAAGTAAAACAATCATCCATCAACAGTATATACTATGATCACGAAATTTTGAGTAAACATTTTTTTTTTAAAAAAAAAAAGATAATTGAACAGGATAACATATTGCAAAATCATATTGATATCGTTTAAGCTTCCAATTTCAAGAAAGCTACACGGTACATGGCAACCAAATTACAAAGTTAGCAAATATGAATGAACTGTGCGACGAAGATTTTTTGTTTCACCTCGTTATCTTTGTTCCTAGAAAGCTGGCACAGACGAACTAAATTAACATTTCAGTTAAGTGGATAAGTGGGAAAAAAATTCTAATCAAGGAATTTCCAGATCATACTGTTTAAACTCAGAACACACACACACAAATTATTAGTCTCCAGATATCCAGAACTTAGCAATTCAGAGCTAATTGCTGCTATCATCACAAAAAATAATCGACATTTCTGCTCTGTCAGAATCAATTTCTGTACACACTCGTTCAAAATACTAGCAACTTTCACCAGACTGTCAGTCAGAATAACACAACCAACCTTCTGAAAATTTGTCTCCGTGTCCTCTTCTTCGACCTTAATAAGCTCAGTAAGATGATCAATTAAATTCAGCTCCCATGTATTTTTTTGATTAATTTTCTGCACCGAGAGAACCAAACACAAAAGCACAATAAATAATTATGATTCCAGATAGTGTGAGTGTTTACGCATTTTGTATGTTAGAAGTAATTAAGGTCCAAAGTGCCAAAGGAGGAGAACGCTAAGATAGAGAAAGATACTCACATTTTCACTAGCAAGTTTGATGCAATTTTGGAATAATTCAAGGATCTGCCGCTTGTCGAGGCATACATTGGGGTTTTCACGAGGTAGCAGACTGGTAGCAATGGACTTGCGGCGATTTGCTGCAGCGCGTGCCGCCCGCGCTTGAGCGCGCTCAAGTTGGTCGTCGTTGGAGCCGAGGAAGAAGGGGCTCGTCGGAGATTGTATCTGAGTGGCCATCGGACGCCTCTGCTTCTGCACGACGGAAGGATTAGGGCTTAGTATTTCCGCCATTGGAAGAATCAAACTGAGGTGATAGTTGCAGAAACAAATTCCAGAAAGTTTGGGCTCCGTAAGATCTTTCAAGAACTAAAACGAGGAAGACAACTTTCCCTCCATTTCTCTGTTTGAATTTTTCGAGAGTAACGGGAGACTTCGTTTTATAGTGTACAGAAGATTACCCCATTGTCCTAATTCTTCTTCTTTTTATGATTTATCTCTTCTTATTTATTAATTTTTTTAATATATAAAATACAATAAATTAACCTTTTTTACCCCTAAATTTAGTAAGTTGTATTAATTTTCACTTTTAAGTTCTCAATTTCATTAAATAAAACCGTAAATTTAAATAAAGTTTAAAAAAAATCAAAATTTTACTAATTTAATAAAAAGCTGAAATTAAGTTTGATTAATGTGCAAATCATTGAGTAATTCAACCATCATTTATATTTTTCAACCAAAAAAAGGTTATAATATCGTTTTTTCCTAAATCTTATCAATGACATCAGAAATATATGTGTTGATAAAATTACAACTTTTATTAGAGAGGTGAAAGATTGCAACACTTATTCAATTTGAAACTGCAATTTAGTGAAATTTAAAGTTTAGGATAAATATTGATATATTTGCTTAAGTTCCAAGTTAAAATGGATATTTTTCCTAAAATATAAAACTTATTTATTTATTTTTTCCTTTCATCACTCAGACTTTTGTCAAATCAATAGAATTACCATTTTTACAAGAACTAGAACATCTTCATAGTTCATACATCTTATGTATGTACTTTTAAGAAGGTAACTATAGTGAGTCTATAGGGAAGAAAAATTCCAAAATTCGAAAGCCCTCTTTGTTCTTTCCACCATCTTTCACATACAAACCCCTCGAGTGCAGTGGGATTTTGGAACCCATTTTTCCCATTTAACACACCAAAAATGATGTCCTAAATTCATCTACAACAACATTTTTCAGCTACCACATCAGGAACCTGATGTGTGTTTCCTCCCTTTTTCTCTCACATTCTTTCCACGAACTACATTGTCCGATCGATCAGCCATTGCTCGAGAGACGCAGAGCTGCCCTGCGAGTGAACTTTCTTGCAAATAAGTAGCACGGCGTATACACTGAGTTGACTGAACACCACTCGGTTCGGTGTTCGGATTCATAGTCAATGTGGTTGATTTCCTGGGAGATCAAGATGGTAACAACCAATGCAGGAAAGGTGTTTATAAATAAAACTTTTTGCAGGCTAATACAATAACATTGCCAACACCAACCTTTATTTCTTTCATTTTTTCAGGAGTTGCATCTAAATAATGGAGAGTAACCGGATGCCAGGATCTTCTGTCCCCTTTTGGAATAGAGTTGTTCCATGCAGAGTACGTTAATGTTCGTCGTTCGACTTCATTCTCGAGACCCCTTATCTTACCATAAGGTCCACAGAAAAAATTATTAACATATGTGAATATCATGACAATGATGGATTCGAAAGACTCTGAAATAAGAATAAAGATTGTGCAACATTGATCACCAACAGAAGCTTCTTTGAAGCAACGGTTGCTTTTTGGGCCTTAATCTCGATTGATAAACGCAGGAAATTAGGGTATGATACGGATTTCGAGTGCAAGTAAACTAAAGAAAAAAAGACAGTTTACTGAAACAGCTTACTGAAAGCAATGTCTGCACATAATGCTCATCTGGTATGCAGTTGGGATGAAACTTTATCCGTTGAATGTCAAATTTGTCAACCTCCTGTTTCAAAAACCGCTTATCGTACTCGTCTGCAAATCGATATTTTAGTCAAACAGTCAGAGTGACTTACAAGTATTTGCCTCCCGGTGGCGAGTTCCGTGGGCGGCCATTGCTGCAAAGCGGGAAAAGATAAATCTGATCATGACATGATATTACTGATGCTTGGTTACTAAAAGGCTCTTCCGTACTTGGAGCAAAAATTGAACTACAAGAGAATTTTATTCCACACCTTACAGAATTTCTTAAAGAGAGGAAAAATAATGGCATCGTTAACTACAACTTCAGCATGTCTCCTCACCAAAGCAATCCACTGAAAACAAGACAAGAAGTGATCTATTCATTCTAGGAACTGCTTAGAATCAGTATCTTCTCTTGCATCCATAGAGTAAAATTTTAAAACTAGACAAAGAAGCTAAACCTGAGACCCCTTTCGCCATTTCTCCTCCTGTATTACTGGTGACATCTCGGGATTATATCGGCCTTCGTTAACATTCAAAAAACTACACAATATAGAAGCCAAAGCTACTTGTAATCAACTTTTCCCAAATTGCAGAGTCAGATTAATTTCATTAGGAGGTCTTAAGAATGCTCAGTGAAAACATGGATTTGTGATAAAACGATTTCCATTACTGACTTTTCGATCACATACCTGTCGACAAAGCTTTTCGTAGAAGACATCAGATAACTGTAAGTATGGCTGAAGTTATGCAGAGGTATGCAGCTGCAATTACCGTTAAAAATAGCAAACAAACTTAGATTTTTGGATCGATAATTACAGTTTCGAGCACCAAAACATGAAAGATCTCGAAATGAACCTATCAGAAAGAAGGACAAATCTCTGGTTTGCTGGATCGTCAAGAGCTGCGCCAAAGAGTAGACGTTCTGCTTCTATCATGGTGGATTCTCCCCATAGCACCTGAACCATTTGGTGGCCACAAGAATTCTATTCTGTTAGAGCAAAGAAAACTGAAGGAAAAAAAATTCATGGAGGAGTACCTGAACACTGTTGTTCAATTGTCGACCATAAAAGAAAGAAGACTTGGTGGTTGATTTATTGAACACGAAGCCTGGCTGTGAGTGAATATAAATAGAAAACTTGGCCTCGTCTCCATTCTGTACATTTCATCAATAACAAAAATGTAAGAGCCTCTATAAGAAGTAACTATATTCAAATACGTAATATATGCATAGCTTTCTCTTCATTCATCTATTTATGAGAAATGGATGGCACACCTTGAAGAAATTGGCCCAGAGGAAATCAAGAGGAAGGTTTCGACGAGCGAGGAACAGAAACGCAATCTTGGGAGGTGATTGAAAGCCATGGCTATCACCAAAACCGTTAGTTCTGAATCGGTAGGTGAAGCTGGAGGACTGAAGCTTGAACTCATCAGAATGAAATATCAGAATGGCCAGTGTCAAGAGCATGGCGCACACAGCCACCACCACCTTTGAGCCCACCGCCGTCAACGGCAGGCACGCCGCAGCCGTTGCTGAACCTTTTTTCTTTGTCATTGTTTGATCGCTGGCCTCCCTCTGTGGCTGAATCTTAGTTGCTATATGCTTTAAATTGAAGGCTGGTTTCTGCTATAATGATCTTAAGTTACAAAGTTTAAATTTATGGTGTTAATTATGTCAAGTTTAATGCAATAGTTTTTTAACTCTTCCTTCAGTTTTGATTTCAGACATTTAACACTTAATTTAAACAGACTTTTTTACTTCTTCTAATCTTCTAAACTAGTTGCCACCCAGTTTAGGCGTTGTAAAAACAAGAGAGAGAAAGAAATGTAACGTTTTCCACCATAGAGAAACTCTCACGAAAATACTTCTTTTCCTCTCTCCTTCCTCTCTCTGGTTTTACAATACTCCATTTTCTCCGCAGATTTTCATTTTGCATGCCTTTTTAAACACCGTCTTACACTTCCATGGACAGATTGAAAATTCTTGCAAACAAACAATTCAATGAACTTATATTTCTCTTATCATCCCTTTATCGTTTGTTATGTTTCAATCTATCGGATTCCCTTTTTTTTTTTTTCATATTGTTTCTGAAGTTTTGTGATCAAAGACGGGTCTACTATAGAGCCCCTCAACTTTGAAATATTTTCTTTCTATTATATACCAAATTCAAGTCTCCTTCCAAACTTTTCTTTTTTAATTTACTACTTACTATATATATTCATTTTTAAAAATATAAATATTTATATGTTGGTGAGATGTTCAAATCCAATTTTTTTTAAGTAAGATTTTTCTTCAACACTTTTAAATGGCAGAGCCACTATTACTGAATTTTTTTTTTCAATTTAAGGCATATACATTTATGGTCTCTTTGTCCAATTGTTGCCGACAATTTCTAAGCTTATAAATTATAGTTCATTTTATTTATAAATTTATACGAATTCTTAGAATTATAAACCTGTAAATTATTTTTACTGAATTTTAAATAAAGTCTCGGAACAAGAATTATGATATTGATATTTAATATATAAACACTAAAGAAGTTTCTGTAACAGAAGAAAACTCAATCGAGGATTAATATTTAATCCCTCGATATATATAAACTAGAAACTCAATGCCAATGGGATCAGGAGGCTTTGCCATTATAAAGACTGGCAATAACGAGGCCGGAAACAAAGAATATATTCATTTCTGTATTGATCTGAATCCAATTATGGAAGAAGAATAACCCAGTCCAATACCTTAGCAGCACCCCTTTTTTTTTTCTTTACACTTTCTTTCGAGGTTCGAGCGCATCCTATGGATCATATGTTGTAGTTGATCCCCATGATCAAATTCGATTATTTAATTTTAATTTCTGGTTAAATAAGCTACTAGACATCCCAACACAGCACCTGCAACAACCTGGATCAAGACAATGATTCAATTATCAATACCACAGAGGATAATTAAACAAAAATCTTTATGCCCGAATGAATTAGTACTTTGATAAAGGAAGAAAATCCACCACAGTTTCAGTTAAGACTATCTCTAAGCAGAACTATCAAGATAATGCATAATATGGTTAATTCAGAACAGAATAACCTAAGATGAGAAAAATATACACACACATTTTTATTTTGGTCTGCTTAAGCTATGAGATGACAAGTCTAAACAAGACATATTGACTGAGTCCCATCCCAGCCCGGTTGGATGATATTATGTTAATTAATTCTCAGCCCACAGCAGCATTACAATACTTGGCTTGGAAAAAACAGAATGCAAATGGTTGTTCTCTATGGTAATATTAAAATAGATAGCATATAAGCCATAACAAAAAGTGGGTATCGCAAGACTTTTCATATGAAACCAGTTCTCTAAACATAACATTATCAACTTTTCATATGGTTGCATTTTTTACTGATGGAATGTTAATGTAATGATGCAAAAGAGATCTTGGATTCTGAAGTTACTGATGGAATGTGATTCCCTTGGCATTTTGTAGCTCGCAGAATCCTTCATTTAGAATAGTATTTCAATCATAGCAAAAGAGTCGAGTTTCTTTGTCAATTATCCAGAATATTAACAACTCGCAGGACACCAAATTGCAAGGCCAAGCTTTTAATATCAGATGGTTCCATATCCCAGATATATATGATGTGAGGCAGATGCTCAAGCCTGAAGAAACCAAAACTGAAGCTAGAGAACCACGAAGGCACTAACCTGAAGTGGAGTATGCCCAAGTGAATCTCGCAATGGTCTAATACTGGACAAAGGATGCTCGGGAGGAAACTCACAAACTATTTGGTTTAGCAACTACAATGATCATCAAATGTTGGACTTCAAGAGGGGAAGATAAAAACATAATCTATATGCTTTCTAAAGAACTTACCTCGGCTTGACGACCAGCATGAAGTCTAACACCCGAAGCATCATACATTACCTTCAAGATATAGAAAATATATGAATGTCAGTTACATTAATGATTAAACAGTAAGAAGAGTTCAACCCCATGTTTATAAAGTAATTGATCATAAAAAATATTTGAAGCCTAGTGCATTTTAAATATCAGGTCACAGAAAAAGTTCAGTATGGCAGTAGCAGTCTAAACCAACTTATCAGGCACTATGCAAAGGTACAGACATGTATCAAAAAACAAGATTAACCAAAAAGTAAAAAAAAAAAAAAAACATTTTTGTTCAAACCATCAATTGAAAAGTTAGACTAGCATAAATTGTAAATCAATATCCCAATGGCCGAGTCCAGATTACGCGGGCTTGTGACCCAAGTGGGGGCATTATTCAGGAGGTATTTGTTGTGGCTGATTGGGCTGGACCTCCCTAAATATATTCGTAATTAGCTCAATATTCCCAATGAGCATTGAACTATTTGAAAAAATTACATATAACTAGTAGAATTGAAACCAAATTGTCTCCGTAATCAGGCACAAGGAGAAGAAACAGGAGGAAAGAAATCAAGAATGCTAACAATGAGAAGAAATATCCATGAGGAAGGAATGAATCAAGCACATACGACACATGCAAAGACCACGGCGACGGCGAAAGCGGGTCCTCCGGATCCATCCTGCAGGGCAATAGCAATAGCCAAAGCTGTGACAGTTGCAGAGTGAGATGAAGGCATTCCGCCAGAATCAATCATCCGTTTAGATTCCCATTTTCTTTCCTTATACCTAATCGTCCAGGAAATAAACACCACAAATTAAGCTCCAACCCCCTTCAGATCATGGATAAACATATCGGCAAAACCGGCAATATCAAAAATCAACACAACAGAAAGAGTACCAGGTGGTAAAGAGCTTTAGAAACTGGGCAATGGCGCCGGCGAGGAACGCGGAGAGGAGAGGGAGGTTGGAAGCGAGCACAGGGGCCGGTGCCAGTGAAGACGACGACGTTTTAATGGAAGACGAGACCGCATCCCCAACCGTCATCACCTCATCCATTTACGCTGTGCCCTAAACCAGAACCCCACCTCTCTCTCTCTCACGCTCGCCGGATGCTTCGAAGACGGCGGGAGGATCCGATTCCGATCGGTGAAGAAGTTTGAACTCAGATTGCAGAGATTGGCAGTCAGAAAAGTACAGGAACTGTAAAACACAACATCAATTATCAATAATATTTTGTCAGATCTTGGACAAATTTGCTTAATGGATTCATCTGGCTGCTGCTCTGGATCTTCTCTCTAACGAACTCCAATCTTGTTTTTTCCTTTCCCCCTATTTTGTCCTTCTATCTTCGTTTTCTAGTTGCGGTAAAAAATTTATGCGCACACTTGCCCTTAATACGAAATGTTTGAAAAGGTAAATATATTGTAATATTACTCAGGTTAATTAATTAAACTATGTTTAAAAAAGTTAAATAGTAATTTTCTAATTTCATTAGACTGAATTATAAATTTATTCATCTCAATACCGTTTCAGTGGTATAAAAATGTTGTTCATTTTGCCTGCTGCATTTTAACCTCAACCAAAAAGTTAGAAGATCAAATCTTCACCCACCATAATTATTTATGGTGATCTTATTCCAATGAATGTAATCCATCGACGATGGTGAGGAGACAGACCGCAATGACATCTGTCTCAGTTCCATCACCAAGGGCGTCTCGATTACACTACCGATATATATACATTCAAAGAATTCAAAAAGATTTCATTATTAAAAAGATATGAAGGACCATTAGACTGTGCCTTCAAAATCAAATTACCACTTTGTTATTCCAAATTCACTATATAAGAAATTAATTTAAAAAATCCTACTTCTCTGAAATCTCAACATCTATCCTAACTTTTGCCTCATCATTTACAGTCCCACCCCCTTCTTCCCTAGTGAAATTTACACCCATTTAAAAACAAGCCCATGTTTCACTATTTCTGAATGTTATGAAACTTGTCTATCAACTTCAGAATGTGAAGACGATAAGGGACCGCTGTGCTTGCTTGGCAATGGCGTATTTCTTCGTGACTGGCGTTTTGTCGGCACCAATGCTGGCTCCTGCTGCCAATCTTCAGAAGCCGTTTCAATTTCGATCTCGTCTTCATCGTGCTTGAAAACGGGATGGACGTATGCATCTTGAAGGAATCCTTTCAAGTTCAAGTTTGGTTCCCTTGTTCGCTCCAATGTATCTTTCATCATTGCTTCCTGAAAATTCATCATTCAACAGGGTGATCAGAAAAGTTGAGCAATCTGAAACAACTAAAACAGTTGGAAGTACACGAACCTGTAACGGATATCGAACGAAAGCCGGTTCGTAACGGCCTTTACAGAAAAAATGAAACCATAGAGTCAAGATTGGCAGTGTGATGAGCAAGGGAGTTGATTGAGCAGCTTCTTTTGTACTGAGTAGTCCCATTAGCAATAGCTGCGAAACAACTAACGCGACAATGATGCGCCCGTGGACATCGGGCCAGAATGCTGCACCACTCTCGTACTCTTGATTGTACACATTTATGATCTACAATTTTCGAGAAAACTTTGTTACGATCCTAAAACTTCAAAATACCGGTAAAGGTTCAATTTTGAATGCGTAGACCAAAATACAAGAATGGGAATGTACACAGAAAAACACAAACACGTGGGTTAAAGTTGTTCATGGCACCAATTTTCCCCAAGAAGAGGACCATTTATACCCTTCTTTCATGAAGTTCAAACCTTACCAAATTTGCAAACATACAGGAACATGGTAGATTAAACTGCAGAGTGGAAGTGAGGCAAAATAGTTTTACCTGATGGCGGTAGACGATGTATGCCAATCCAAAGAATACTACAATGAATGGAAGGAGAAGAGGCGTGACTACAGCATAAACCAGGCCGAGTAAGAAATAAAGCTGAATTCGCGGTTCGCCCGTGTTGAACTCAAGAGTTCCTGGATCCATGGCTTCTTCTCTATCCTTTTCGGTCTTCACCAAGAAGAAGTTTCTAAGGTGGTAAATTATCAAAGGCCTAAGTCTAAGAATCTCGGCAGCAATTCCAGCCCAACCATCCACCATTATGTAGGTAATAAAGAAGGTTGCCTTCATGGGGATGGAGACACCGATCGTCTTTGGAATCCTGCAAAAAATTGAAGTGATTTATGGGAAATCATTGAAAGAATTCAACTAGCTATGATGGAAGGAAAACTAAATATTGTTTTCCATAATAGAATCTCAACCACAAATGTATAAACAAGACATATTATTCCTGCCAAATTATTGGCCATCATCCGTGAATGCTTCATAAATAGTAGATTATGAGTGATGGCTTACTCATTTGCAGACTGATGGAGGAAGTTATTAAGTTGTTGGAACGCAGTTCCCGTAATTATACTGCCGAGAAACACGTTGACAAATAGGAATATGTAATATTTCGTGGCAGATCGTCTCTCTAGAGACGACAGACTAATAAAGCCTTCAAATTTAGACATCAACATCAGAATTGAAGGCAGAAAGATGAGAAAAATCTTCAAAACGATTCCGGGAAGAAAACCTTGGATAATCGACTTTATGAATTTCCTGCATTAAATGAACAGGTTATATGTTTAGGAGATAAAATCAAGAACAGCAAGCACCAGTGGACAAAATGTGGAAAGGAAGGATACTCACAATTCAATTATGGGTTTGAGGAAGGGAACCATTTTCTCTATTCCCTCAATGTTTGCAAGGGACTGAACCAATGCAATGGGGATCATGAAAAAGAAGGTAAGGAAGAAGAAGGCAACTCCTGCAATAAGTCTCCTGATTGCCAGTGAAACAAAAGGAATCGCCAAGTTATCCCAGTACACGTCACGGGGCTCGGGAGCCCATTCTGTCAACCAAATGGTTGGATTTCTTGATTGTTGAGTTTGTGCACAAACAGCAGCACCCCACCGCGATCTGAAAGAAACAAAAGCTGCTGGCATGATCGATTTAGGATCGTGAACTGTCTTATCCGCCTCCAGTGATATCTAAACATAACCATTTGGAGAATAATGCAAGTCACATCTCGATGATGTCATGACACTATTATCGTAGGAGTATGAATGAAAGACTAGATTGTATGACTCACTTCTTTTGATAGGCTTTCAATTTTGGACGAATAATAATTTATGGCATCGACCCGATCTCCCCAAAGACCTAGAAAACCGGTCTGCTCACAGGACGTTAGTAATAGAAAACATGTAAAGTCAAGTGGAACATCAAAGGATTACCAGTTCAAAAGCACTAGAGTACCTTTACGGTTGCCCTCACAGATTGGTTTCGAGAATATTTAAGTTGGTAGAAATCCAGCCAATTCTGCATCTTTTTCTTCTCCTCCACCAACTTAGCGAGTTTATTTGCATCATATACAATCTGCATAAGCGTAAGCAGCAAGTGTCAAGAGCACATAAATCATGATTCCTACCAATATCTCAGAAATTTTTTTTTAGAACTTGGAGATATTAAGGATGTCAAATATTTCATCATATGTTTGTTGGCTATCCTTTCCAAATTTCTTAAATCCAACAAATAGGCACACTTTTTAACGTTAATATATGCACACTTTGCAAGTACATCTGTGGCGTTTTGTACAATTAATTGTGGAAAGATCTTGACCTGATGAGTCAGATAATGTTCAGGATGATTGACCAGGAAAAAATGTTCAACGAGCTCGCTAACTGATTCATCAGGGTCTGGTGGTACATTTCTAACAATCACCTGCATCATGCATTGATGTCAGAAATAATGGAATCCCTTCCATTCTTCATATTCCAAAACAGTGTTCCATTTCCAACGAGGTCTGGAATTTTGGAATTTTCAAAGAGCTTGGCCACCTCAAAACCTGGTTAATAATAATCGGTGATTCAAGGCCAATCTTACCGTGAACTGATCTGGACGCCGATTTTCAGATGCAAGAAAGTGCAGCCTCATTGACGCAACAATCTCATACTCCCTTCTTAACACATAGCAAGTCCAAAAGGTAAAGACATAAGCCATGACCAAATGGGTCCAGAATCTGCAATAAGTGATTATAAAGAGTAATGACTAATGAGAACATCTTTTATGATCCAACATGGTAATGAAATAATAAATCTTACAGATCATTCATCAATGCTTATTATCTGATTGTCTCCCCATCCTAGAAAATCATAACTTATTGTAGAATTTTCTCTCTTCCTAGCTCAAATTTTCACTCCCATTAAGAAAATTCTTGTGGGGTTGTATGATGAAAACTGCTCTAGCTAGGAAGAAGCAAGAGATCATTTATATCAGTTGCCAATCATCTCTGTTTGACTCAACAAATTCATTTCAAAGTACTGAAAAGGCAATCCATTAAGCATGAAGGAGATATGGGATTTGAGAACTAACTGTCTGACAACTTAGGAGGAAGAAAAATCAAGCATGTCCAAGTGAGTGTTTCTTAAAAAGACTTCTGCAGCATACCTACGTGATCCAATAGGAATGTTAGAAATGGAAAGCTTGTCTATATTGCTGTAATTTAAAGAAGAACCCTCCAAAGTTCCATTTGTCCAATTAACAGGTACCATGATTGCGAAGGCCAGACATGCAATGGGCACAAAAATTTTGAGCCTGCAACCAAATGACAAGGAAAGATATCATAAAAAGCAACAGAACTTGCAGAATCAAAATAATAAACAACTTTGAGCCTAAAAATTTGTGATAGCTACATATTTTCTTTTTGGCTATTTTAGGATAAAAATAAGCTATTTTATTAGAGATGCGAACTTTTGATAAAAGGAGGTGGAATACAGGGAAACATGTGGAGGAAGAGGATAAGTTACCTAAAGTGCTGTGGCTCTTTAAGCATTCAAACTCCCGATTTTTCCCACAACAATCAAATACCCAGCCATMAAAAATTAAAGAAAACAAGCTTGGTAGTCAAAATTGAGGAAACCGGGTTGAAAAGTTTTGATTGTTCTCTTTAGTTCAACATATTCTTTCTTGTCTACAGAGAAGGGGGGGTTTTAAAAGATTAGAGCTTCAAGGGCATATTGTATACAGATTGAAAAGATCACCTCACTTTTTGAAATTGTTGTAAAGAAATTGAACCTAAAGAACAACAATCATTCAAATTTCATTTTAGCAAGAAAAATCTCTAGAACAACAAAACCTATGTGAAAGCCAATTTACAGTGCAATAGGAACATTCATATGGTAAACTACAAACTACAGAGAAAGAAGATCCACAAATACCCCAACAAGTAAATCCTCAGGTAAACCGCAGAATCGAGCCCAGCGTGATCAATTAACTCGGGTTCTGGCATTCGCAGAGCTGCAACCATCCAGTTCAGAAACTTCAAGTATGATCTGAAATCCAAATTGACAATTCTGCCTACAATTGCACCACTGGACAATGGGCTTCCTCTTAAGCCTTTAATGTACCATTTGGGAAAGTATACCCGGTCGTTCACTGGCTGTATCCGAAGTAAAGCAAATACTAGAAAGAAAGCAAGGGCACTAAGAATGTTTATGGTTGCCCCAACTCCTATGTCCGCGATGCTTGCCATTTATATCCCTTTGAAGTAAAAAATAAACCGATCTGCACAAAAATATAGGACCCTTCTCAGAAATATATCATCACCATCTGCAGAAAATGGGGACGAAAGAAAGAAGTGACCACAGTCACAGAACTAGTTGTTCTTGAACCTCACTACGTTTTAGGAGAGTCAAAAGAAAATTATAAAAAAGTTTAGAACAATCGTCTGCTCCCCACTAGCAACAAATCCTCTAAAACTCAATCGCAGATCCAACGAAGTCACACTCTGGGCACCTTCTTTTAACGGTTTCAACTCAGAATCTTGCACAACTAGAGCACCAATACTCGCGAGCCAACCAGTTCTCGTAGTAGACAACACAAAGCAGAGTCCAGCCAAGAACTTCAAGAAACAAGGTACCCAGATATCCAAACGAAGAGATGATTCTGAGAAATGAATAATAATACCATAAGAAGAAGGGAAATAAGAGGAGAAGAAGAAGAAGAAATCAGCTCACTGTCTTAATCATGTGATGTGTGAACACTGAAGCTCACATTTCAAGCACGCACCTGTCCTTGACAAAACAATAAACAAAGTGAAAAGGGCGAAAGGGTCGGTGATTGATTGAAAAGGCAGTTCAAAGGATTGAAAATGGTGATGGGAAAATGGAAACGAATACGTTTCTGATTTCCTTCCACCTCAAGCAGTTCTTTTTCTAATTATTTTTTATTCCTCTCTTCTGTTCTACGAAGGGAAACTCTTGAATTTCATAGATAGAGGATAGGATGACCAAACCTCATTAACATTGCATTTATTCGGGGAAGGAAGGAGACGGCCAGGCCCTCCCGCAGGCACCACTCTGTCCATTTACTCTAACGGCTCCTTTGAAATCGACCTCTCTGACCTCTCACTCGCCGTTCGATCTCAAATAAACGGCTGTGATTCTTCTCATTTCAATGTACTCTTTTTTTTTAATTCTATTCAATGCATCTTTCTAATGGACAAATTCTCTGGTTTTGATTTTTTTCATCTTTTTCTTTCTCCAAAACAATCATAATTCCTATATTTTTTAAAAGATTCTTATGATCCGGTTAGATATTTAATAGTGTATTTAATACACGATGATAATTTTTTTATATGTCACTATTTTAAGATAAATAAGAGTGTTGATGAATTGAATTAACACTTGATACTACATATTTATCCAAATCAAATGACGCAACAACTTCGAGTGGATTATTTTTATTGACATAATTGAGAAAATTAAGTTAGTTTTATTGTAAGTAAAATGTGGGTTATGTAGAATAATGGTGAGAGTAGTGTTGCTAAACCCTAAAACCTATAATAATTTCACATGTCACGTCACATCTAAAGAGACAAAACTAAATTCAAACTATAAAAAGGATAGACTAAATTCAAATCATTAGGGCTAAAGTGGTAATATAACATTTTTCTAAAAATATACAAGGAAAAAAGTGATATCGGATGTCAGTGAAAAATTTATAAAAAAAAAAGAAAGAAAAAAAGGTCAACACTACCTACGTATTAAAATATATAATAGATATTTATTTTAAAATTTAACTTTGTGGGTCTTGAAGAGAAATGGAAGGATCGGCATCACAATGAACTGTTGCAAATAATTGTGAAAAGGAGGACCAAAATGAAAGGCTTTGAGATGGCAGATTTGATAAGTAATAAAGATTTGGGCCATACTTTTTTAAGAGCAATATCAGTTGGGGGCCATAATTAGAATGTGGAAACTCTGTTTAAGGTATCGTCGTCATTATTGAAAAAGCAAAGGGCAAAAAAAAAAAAAAGTTTCCCTTTTTACCTGCTCCGTTTCTATTTATTATCTTTCCTATTTTTGTGTAAAGTATTTAAAAAAAAAAGAGGCAAAGGTGAGTTGAAAAGAAAGGAAAATTTTTTAAATCCATTTTTAGAATCATTAAATTGAATCTTAATTACTTTAAATTGCAACAGCTAAATGGGTAAGATTCACGTGGTCTAAAATATGTATTTATATTTGTCTAATTTATTTTTGTAATTCTGATAAAAGAAGATAAATAATAAAGCTAAATATAGACTTTGAGTTATATATGAAGACACATATAATAAGGTTTCCTGAAATAAATAATCAAAACATAAGGGTGCCGACATGCCGGTATTGTATGGTAGTTGGTAAGTCATTTTTTTTCCTTTTATATTAATCTCTCTCTTCCTTTTTAAATTTGAAGAACTTTTTTTTCCTCATGCAAAAAAAAAAAAGTTTATTTTCCCTATTCAAAGGGTGGAGTCACAGTATTTTTTCAAAATAAGTCATCCTCATTAGATACAAAGTTAAAAAAATTTAATTATAGGCTTATTTATGGTGTTTATTTTAGTCTCTAATATTTTTAAAAATTTTCAATTTTCAATTCTTTTTATGTTCTTAAAATTTGAATTATACTTTTGTTTTCTCTTCTCTGTTAACAATTAGGCAACAAAACAAATTACAAAACATACTACACACACCCAAGTTACATCTAGGTTTATCTTGAAGCACCCATCGAGTAATTTCATCTTAAACATCCACAGGCAACTATTCCTATTAGATTATTTTCCTTTCCATCCCTACTACCATTTTTCTAGTTCGTGGGCTACATGACATCCTCCCCATTTGCAAAGCAAGGACGATGCTATGTATAATCTCTATTATTAATAAAACAATCAATTTTGGCTAAATTGACACTATATGAAAAATGACTAAACAATTTGGACATATTTGATAACGATTTTATTTTTAGTTTTATGTTTTTATAAAAGTTATGCTTGTCTTCTCAAATAATAATAATAATGATAATGATAAATAAATAAGCATCTTTCCTCGCAATACAAGCTGTCTGGCCTGAACTTTTTAGCGTCACCCATGACCCACATGCGAATTTATTAATTATGATTAGAAAAGGGAAAAAAATGTCACAAAGAAAAAGTGAGGAATCCAAAAGGTTGCATGTTCTTGATTTGCTTTGCTTCCAATGTTAATCTTTCTTTATGCTCATTTTTTGTGGCATTGGTGATCACGTGGTTTCCAATGTTATGCAACGGCCTAATTGCAAATTATTTGTGATGTACATAAAATATTACATAAACGGAAGCCAGAAGAAATATGTGTCAGTATAGCAAAATTAAAACAGATGTATGCCAATGATTTAGATATATTAATAACTACAGTTAAGTTTTGCAAGAGAAGTCAAACTAAGCATTGTTCAATTGGTTAAAGACACGTATCTCTAACCAGAAAGTCGTTAATTCGAATCCTCACTCATTGTACTCAATAAAGAAAAAAAATTTGTAAAAGAAAGTTAGTCATGAGAATCAAACAATAGACCTTTTAAGATGGTAATCAATATTTTACTCATTGAGGCTAGATTTGCATGGAGATATATCCATGATTTTTTCTTGCATTCCATTAATCAATATATTAAGGTAGGTATATTAGTTTTTTTTTTTAATTCAACGGATCAAAACATCAACTTTGAAGATGTTAATAGATATCTTATTAGAGTAAATTTTGCATGCTTGAACGATAGATAATAAAAGTTATAAATACACATATATTAGTCAAGACCCCTATATTTTTCAATCATCAATAAATTATCTCTATTTTTATTTTTTATAATTGATATTTAGAGCATACATCGAGGTGGAGATTCAAACCACTCAATAATGCTAGTTAAACCCGCATTGCATTGATAGTTAAATCAATGACTTGTTTTAATTAAATTATTTTTGTACTTTCCTACTTCAGAAATCTCTTTCTTTTTCTTTTTTCTTTATTTTTTATTTTTTTATTTTTTTGCAAATTATGCAACCTTCCTTTTAGTTCAAGTTGTGCTCAAATTGGTGTAAAGCATTAACTTTTTAAATAACATATAGAAAATAAATAAATTTTAGAAAGGAAGGCTGTGAAAGATGCTGCCTAGATGGTTGTGACCACTGCCTGTACATTGGTGTAAGGCAATCCAAGTTAATACTAATAATACTAACAACTAATTAACTTGAGTATAGCTCAGCGAGTTAAAATGTATATTTAAAACCAAAAAGTTGAATACTTGAATACTCGAATCTTACTCCACATGCATTAAAAAGAAGAGAATATATATAAGTCAACTTGTATGTATGATGTTCTGAGCTGGAGACTTGATAAGGATAGGGTTGACTTTGTGCATGTCAGCATTGAGAGAATGCCAAGCTATGAGGATGATCAAAGGAAAGCTTTAAAAGAAGATATATTCAACAGTGAAAGTTAGAGCTATAATGTTAGAGATAGAGTTAGTCTTATGGTGTGATGGTAAGGGTGATATCGGTTTCAGCTACTTAACAGATAGCGATGTGATAACTGATAGGATTGTGGTATGCAGTATGCACAACACCAACCTAATGACTCTTATCTTTATTGCATCCATTGTTTCTTGTTAGTTGGTGACCCATAAACAACTAATGATTGACGTGATCTAAATAATGCCTCACATACTATTGGAATTCTACAGCTCACATTCTCATTCTCTTACCCAGGCGTCGTGTCGTGTCCTAATCCTTAGGATATGATTTGATTTGTGGTATCGTTCTTTTCTTATGGCCCTGGGAATACAACTTTACTATCATAACATAATAGTTCAATTCAAATGGAAACTGGAGGCCACATGTCTAAGCAAATTTATCCTTAAAAGCATAGCATAGCTATCAAAACCCAAAATAAGACGTAGGATGGAAAAACATGCTCTGTTTCAACGTTTGCTAACCTTTGCCGCCAGCCAGCCTCCTAGAATTTCTGAATCACAACAGAATTGGCTATTCCAGCTTGTTCTATAGTTTGATCCAGATCGGCCAATTGTTTGGGAGGGAACCCCATCGTCTGGAGTTGGTAATTTCTTGCACCACTAGGTCTTGATGCATCAATGAACCCACGGATGTCCCTGATTGTATGGTGGTGGTTGAAACGCGACACCATTCGTGTCCCATCTGCCAGCCTTAGCTGAAGAGAAGTTATTGGCAGTGACTCGTCTACAACCAAACCTGTTGATGGGAGCGGAGCAACACTAGGTGAAATAGCAGCAGAAGTACGCTCGGGAGCAACCAGGTTTGGTGAGTCGCTCGCTAATGTTCTCCCAACACCTTGGAATGGAGCATGGCGGCGCTTCACCGGTTCCTGTTTTTAGTAGGAGATGAAACAGGAACAATAAAAGTCAAATGGAATGAGAGAAACGATGCACAAGAAATAGATTATAGAAAGGAATAATAACATACTGGATTATAGAAAGGAATAATAACATACTGGGTAGTCTTCCTCCTTTCTGACAAGATTAACATGGACAGAAGTCCTCCTATCGGCTGGTTCAAGCTCTTCCGGGCACTCTGATCTTCTAATACTCTGCCATAATATAAAACATGTCATCAGGGACAAGCATCCGTTATGAATAATAATGGCTTTTAGATGAATTGTGAAAGTAAGATCAATGAAGCTGAGGCACATCTTGAATCTCTATAATCCATGGCCAAAACTTTAGGGAATCATAAAGCCTATTATCACACTAAGTTCAAGAATAATAAAACCAACTCGGTTGTCGAGTGTTGATAACAAATATACCTAAGACATTAACTTATAAGCAGCAAAAATATGGAGTATAAAGTACTATGCAGGTTATCCGAGACTGGGAAGGTTGAAATCCTTTCATCTATAAGAAATATTAATGGCTTCTTCGATATTCAAGTTCTGAAGAGCCAGATCAAATGATGTCAGTGGGCATTAAAAAGAAAATTAACATCAAAGGTGACAGCTTACGCTTTCAGACAAGTTGCAAGCTCAGAGACCCTTGAGAGAAAACTAACTTTGGGAACCATGAATAACACAAAAATTGGGCTTTCAGACACTGTTACCTCTAAAAATGGTGCATTTTCAGGATCATCCAACCTCCGTAAAGGACCATCATCAATGGAGAATCCATTCCTCCAAAAAGTGACAGTGTGTGTGACAGCCTCAGGGTGCCTAGGAATTGATGGCATTGTCTCACCAGAGAGCAATCTTGCAGTTCCAGAAAAGCTTTTGGAAGCTGAAGATGGTTCAATAGGTACGTCTACTGCTGATTGTCTGGCTTGGTCAAAAATTGCATCGACAGAATTACCTTTGGTAGGATCCTGGACAAGCATTCCACTGCCAAGAAAAAAGTAAAAGAGAAGCACTAAGCAGTGTCACCAAACTCAAGTAAACTTGTATTTTGTAACATGGACTAATACTTATCATCTGGCAAACATAATCTTAAAACTGCAAACATATACTTTCTCTCTTACACTAACATATAAAATTCGACACAGAAATATTTTAGAAGCATGCCTGGTCACAAGAGAATAAGACAACCCAATTTAGCAAAACATAATACATACACCACCGGTACATAATTACCATCCTTACTGGAAGATGAACTCTGATCCCATTCCAGGTTAGATGACTGCAAGTATTATTTTATTAAATAGATTGCGAGATAATAATTAATCTTATGTTTTCGTCCATACATTGTTTCTCTAGTATAATTGCCTTGCCACATGAAACAAAATATGTGCAGCAAGTAAATTAAGGATTACTGACTTTGTTTGGACTATTATAAATATCTCCAAGCCTTTTTTTTTAAATATATTCATAAGTGTTCAAACCAGCTTGCGCACACCTCCATTATTCTCACAAGACAATCATCCGACATCACTACATTTGGTTACCAAGATAACTCATAAGATGTTAAATCACAGGTGGCCACCATGGTTTCAACTTATTCCCTTTAAATCCTTTACTATTTACATTAATCATTATTGACCACTAAACCAGCCATTATGGTTCTTCCAATGATTTTCTATCCAAGAACAACAAAAATACTCCTGGTTCCTTCAAAAATTACTTTTAAAAAATTGATCTTTTCCCTCGAGGGTCGATGCTGCTCCTATTCACTTTCTTCTAAACAAGGATGACATTAGGAAGATATCCATGTGATGTGGTTTTTCCTTCGAATCAGAAAATATAGGATACATCAATATTTGAAACAAGAAAAAGATGTATAGAAGAGGATATTCTATGGAAAATATTTCACAAGTGGATGTCCATGTCCCTTTCAAACAATGTATGAAAAAGCAATGGTCGAGCGACATTCACATACTTGAAATTTGTAAGCATGATAAAAATCTAGATCAAATAACAATAAAACTTACTTACCAATAAAATCTTTAAATTAGGCATTGGTATGTAGCATCAAAAAGCGAGGAAGTTCATAAAGCATTGAAATAGGAGATAAACTAAATCCTACACGTTCCGCTTACGCATTGAAAAATGCAGTCAACTGAATCGTATGCTTTTCCCGAATAAAATAGTCATAATCTTTCCCAGTAATCGGTTAGAAAAACAATTGACGCGGACCAAAATTTGCTCATTGATCATTAGTATTTTTCGTACAAGACAACTACTGTCAAAAGATAAGAAACTGGAGGTACAAAATCATGTTCCTAGAGAACAATGACAATCTGAAAATCGACAACCTGAACAAATCTGACCCGTCCAATCGTCAATTTTATTAGAAGGCGAAAAGCAGGTCAAACAAGATACTGAAAAAATTCGTAATTTTGGGAGTCCATGAGAGTTTCTTCAATCCAAAAATACGCTTAATGCAACTATGAAGAAAATTAAACCCCTCTCAGAAGTCAATTAGAGTAAATCTAGATGAATAAAAAATCAAACCTACCTCTTCTCACCACCAGTATAGTACTCTTGTAGCTCATCAGAGTCGCTATCAGAGCCGTCCTCCGCCGGCCGGTTTAGGTCAGAAAGCGTGCGGATGCGACGTGTCCTGCTCCCGGAAGCCCTGTTGTCAACCT